TTTAGCTATTTTAACTATAGCTTCGTAAACTTATTAGAGAAAGACTCTAAAGATCTGGATTGTAAGCTGTCTCTGCACGGCGGGTGTCTCCCGACGCAGGAACGGACCTTAGATAAAGAATTTAGACAAACTCAATTTCTTCATGTAACAGAGAAAGAGTTATTCTGAATCTATACAATTAATGTAGTTCTTCTCCAAGTATAGTTAATCTAGAGTCTACACAGGCTAACTTTTAAGCCTCTTTACTAGCGAAGCGTAGATACTACTGTATATTGTGCATCTAACTGTGTAGGTATATATAGGTATGATAGGTAAAGTAAATACAAGTAACACCGTTTGCATACTGCACGTTAACTTATCTAACCTCACATCCCATCATTAATCATAGCCTGAACCATCCTTACATGTCTGTCCGCGTTCGTCTCGCTCCATTCGTTATCATAGTTCAGTCCATACGGCCAGAAATGACTACCACCACAGTTGATCTTTGCATTCGCCCCATCAAAGCTCCGTAGCAATGGTAGTGCTGTTCTCCAATCTCCCGACGCACATTTGCTGTTGAATGCTGCTGTTTGCCCCACGCCCAATGTGTGCGAGATTTCATGCATGGCTGTGCGTTCTGTCATGTATGCACGGTTCGAGCCGAAGCGCAGATCGCCGTTGTAGTTTGCTTCAGCAGTTGGAACGCCTGGTGCGTAGGCGACGCGAATTGTCTTATTGGCAGTTGCGAATTTGTGGTAGCGGGCAACGGCTTTAGTCATTGCCGCTTCGATTCTGGCGTAGGCGTCTGCTTGATCCGCGGTGGGGTTGGATACTTTTGCCAGCGACCAATTAAGACGCGCAGAGGCGTTGCAGGCGTACGCTGCAACGAGGAGTAGAGACAGCTTCATGATGCTGAGATGTGACTGCTTGATTCTAGAAATAAAAAAGACTGAAGCAATGCAACATAGCAATGCTGTGGACCAGTCGCAAATATATGGTATCCTGTGCTAATGATCACCCTAGCCACTCTACCCGGCATTGTCATGTGCACCTTCCTTATGCTCATGGGTGTGGCTAAAACGGCCTTGCAGCCATATTAGGGAGGTGGGAGATACGAGGTGGGCCTCTGATATCTTCCGATATACTTGGCGGGTGTTTTGTTTGTCCATCCACCTAACAGAGTCACGCATTTAGTTATGCATATTACTTTCCCATAGCGATTGGCATTGTTCAATCAAAATTGGCTTGGTGCTGCGGTGTGCAGGGTCTGAAACGGTCAAGCGTCGGAGTATTGATTGCATTCAGGGATCACCACCCCGCTTTGAAAGATTACCATCTTGGCATATTTTTAGAACCTTGGGCTGTGTTTATGCTTTTGGAACATTTGTAAGCACAATACTTAACTATCGAAATATTCTTAACGAGTCTTTTCAACGTATTACACTTGATGTAATCCTCAGCTACCAAAGCCTACAAGAAGGTATTCGCCTTTGATCTCATTCTGGAAGCGTACTAGTGCGCTCGGGTATGTACGTACTTAGAAAGATCCTGGTAAGCTTTGTTGCCAGCTCTAAGGCGAGCCCGCTAAATGTCTTCAATGGAAGTAAGTGCATCTGAGCCCAACTAAACTAGCTTAACTAGCATATGTCAATCGTGCGTTTATGAAGCACGACTCTAACATCATCCTTGATAGTCTTTCTGACCTCTTGTGGTAGTGGTAGGTACTCGTATATACATTAACTATTGTTGAAATACTATTATGAGCCAAGCTGGCGTTTAGTATAACAAAAGGCGTGCTGTGCAGGTCAAGGTAAAACACACAAATGCATGTAGCGAACATAATGCTCCTGCTTAATTTGCTTATTCTAGAAATTCGAGATGCAAAGGATAGGTCCAAGAATAGGCTCTGCGCTGCAGCCAACTCTACATGCAATTTTCCCGGCACCGAATCGACAAAGTACAGAATGTGCTAGGGGCCCCAACTTTAAGCAAGTTACATTTTAAACCCAATTTGTACTAACCCAAATGGATGCAGACTAGATCTCGGGTCCTTGCAGATCTTGGAACACATCGGAGCCCAAAAAAGCAATATTCTCTAGCAACTCCGATCTCCAGCATACAAATGACAAAATCCCAAATCTAGTCTTTTGCCGTGGAAAGCCTCTTACCCACATTTTTGTAATCAATTGTGCTGAATTTCTGGACTAACAGAGGCATAGCGTTGATGCAGAAATTATTCGACGACTTCGTTCATTGATGTATGGCCTACAAATCCATTCAGAATTCTAAAGATCAGTTTAGGCAGACTATCTTACAAATGATATTTTTCTCGTCATTTACCAGTCCAGATGTAACTGCGAACTCTAGTAATACTTTAGCATCGACCTTGTCTAATATTACTTGGGGTGAACTAGATTGGATTACCTGCGACAATGACAATTGTAGTAAAGGCTGCTGAGTCAGCATCTCAAGAAACAGTTCCATATTCAAACAGTGTGATGCTACCTCCAACCTCAGCCAAACTCCAAAGTGTGAGGCTAACATGTATAGTTTCCAAACCATCGCATTCGCTTTAGTATAGATCTCATGTTAGAAGGCGGGCTGCTAAGCCCGGATGTCACAACATCACCAACACCAGGATTGTTGCTATGGGAAATGGCAATTTCGTTAGGGAATGACTGTTATTAGAGAACATCTAAAGATAGTAGCTCCATATCATCGTGATTCCACCAAAACTTCAACGCAATTGCAACCCCAACCTGTTCAGTCTTTCATGTCGGCTTTGGGCTCAGGTCGTACCTGAGAGCTCTCGAGAGTCTAGAGTGTCTTTGATCGAGGTATCAGTAAGAACAGTCCCTAAGTTGATGTGGCGATACACTTACGAATGTTAAGCCTTATCCAGATCGAGATCCGAATGCCCTTGCGCTATAGCCCAAATTGATGCACTTGCCCACTTGGAAGGCGTTCTCTCGTCCATCTGCCCACCAGATCCTGTGAGCAGAGCCAACACAGTTTCCGACGTCGTAGAAGTCTGCCTTCCGGAGGTTGCCGCCAAGGTTCAAGATACAGAAAGATTGAGTAGCGGGAATATTTTGATCACGGCAAGCGTTGTCCCACACATTGATATCTTTCGCATCGCCCGTGCAGTCCCTGCCAGAGAAGGCGGTGAACTTGTAACCAAGAGCTCCGGAAGAGAGACGAGGAGAGCAACTAAGGTAGAGGTGAAGTGCATGATTGTTGTTAGTGTCTCAAGGATAGCTTTATGCTAGGAACGAAATTGTAATGATTTGAAGTAAGATGCGGTGATGATGAGATAAGTATGAGTTTGGTAGCATCTTTTAGCAAGAGACATAGCTGGTATATATACTTGAGGATGCAAAAGCGAGAGAGAACCTTATTTGCAGAGTTACGTAACTCCATAAGACGTTCCCGATATATCAATGACAATTTGGTCATACGAGTGCCGTCTTTTGTACTCGGGTTTTCTTAGCAAGCATGAATATGATGATTTTTAACCCAAAAAGTATGAAAATGTTGATTGTTAGCCCGAAAGGGTGAATACACAATCTCGGCTAGTCTCTAATGGCGACTAGTGATGACTGTGTGGAAAGTACAACCTGAGTCGTATGCCAAGGTATGCTACATACGCGAGCTGACTTAGTCCGCCTCTAGATTGTTGGCTTTATGTGAGTCGAGCTCACCCACTGGTGATTAATGCGTACTTGCATATTCTGGCAAATCCTTCAATTGAATAGATGATTCGAATGGACAGTTTAGGTGGCCGTGAATTAGTCTTTGGTCTTTAGGTGCAAATGAGAGCCTAGGTACAAACGTGATATTTCACCTTCATGTTTCCTGTATCTGTCTGACCGAGGAATGGCTTCATTTACGATCTATGCGATTTTCTAGTATATTGACTTACGAGATTATTCGGTCGAACACGAGGAGTCGCCCTGCAAGCCACCTACTCTGTTGTACCTTCTTCGGTACTACGACTATAGTGTGGGCTCAGATTTGACGGATACGGCGATAAACTGGGTTCGCAAAGCCTCATGTTGGCGTAAGCCACGTGTTGGTTGGACGAACATCGTCGATCTTTTTGCTTAGCTCTAAATCCTTGTGTATATGTATACACCAATTAACACACAGATCTAGGGAAAGATCTAGTCTGGCTATCAGCTACTTGATAATGACTTAGTTGGATTCAATGATATCTAGAAGTGGATGCAGCTTAGATGTTGATTATGCAAACATATGTGGAACAACCTTGACTATGATCGGGTAGGAGCGCCGAGCTTGCTGGGCAGATTCGCGTATAGCGGGTGCGTGCATCACCACGGGCATGACTTTACAGCGCTTATTCGCTGCCCTAGTAGAAACAATCCAGGCACCTACCATGTCTAAATCCGGCAAGGTAAGGCAACCCGCAACGGGCGTATGGCACAGCATACCTTGGCTTAGGTCCTGACCAATATGAGGCGTGAATCGAACTCAGATTTGTGCCGTAATAGGATTAATGTTAGTTATGAGACTTTATGCGTCTGCCGAGGCAAAAATGGCTGTACAGCATTGAAAAATGATATGGGACTTTGCGATCTCATTCACCTTTGGTGGGACTCAGGCCTCGTCCACAACCTCAGCCCAGTGCCTTTGAACCTCTCCAAGCAATATGCTAGCAAGTTGTTCTTGCGCAAGCGAAATATGAGGCTCTTTGCCCACGTTGATGCAAATACATTGACCATTGTGGCCAATTTTCTCCACCTTTTGGATTCACGCTGTTGTTTCTCTTCGACAGCACGATCAGTCTCAGAAATTACGATCCTGTTTTTCACCACATTGCACAGCTCAAGTGAGCTTGACTCCTGTGAAGAAAAACTAGTCTTCAAATCATCAAAGATAGTTTGACCTGTGTACCCTACGAGGATCAATCCTTGTTCTTCGAGAGGCACTGTGGATACTTCTTCAGGCGCTCGAGCCAATTGAGAACTAGCTCGATTCATGGCGTTCCGGGCGACTACAATCTCCCAGTACTGGACTCTATCAAGCCTACCGGAGTTCCTTGCATTAGAAACCCCAATGAAACCAACGGTGGATATGCTGCTGATTGCTATGCATGTGTCAAAAGAATTGGAGCACTTATCACGACATTTGGTGTAAGCGAGCTGTCGACTATAATTACGACCTGATCATCCTGCAGGAATCGCGGTGGAAATCAAGAATGTCTCAGTCTCATTTCTTACTTTGGCCAACCTTGGCCGCATACTCCAGACTTTGAACAATCTCCAGGGCCTGGCTTAGAAAAGGCAAATGTGACTCGACTGATTTGAAAGTCGGCGCATCTTTCCCTAGCGTCTGTGCCATCTGCTGTTGTATAGGCAGCAGAAGCGCTTTGTTGGCCTCACAGAAGAAGTACATCGGGATTTCATACCACGGCTCATAAGTGACCTCGTCGGTGAAAATGCGCGCTGATTGGTGCTTGAGTCTTGTAATGGCGCTCTTATGTGCCTCATCATCTAGATCGTGGTAATAGACTATCTCGGGCGTAGCAGCGTAACAGTAGTCACCCTAAACCTGACTTTTAGCCCTGCTATGTGGGAGATAAGAGGATGTATCTGGTATATATACGAACATCGAATTGTATCTAGGGTGAGAATTGACTGCCAAGCATAACCTTGACGGTTGCTCCCTTTGGGGCAACGAAAGCAGCGAAGTAAACCAAGATGATGACACCGCCTTTTTTTACCCATTGCCTACCGCTGCTTGCAGCCTAAACCCTTGAGGGCATTTTTTCCGACTAAACCTCCGTATGAATGCATGACTAGGAAAATATTTTTGCCATCATCAGAAAGCCTTTCTAAAGTGGAGCGCAGCGCCGCGGTGTCATCTTCTAGGCCTTTGTTGGGTGGCTCCGCTCCTACGGACGGGTGTGCCACCGCCTCAGTTTCCTATCCGCGCTGATGCAGTTGTTCGCGGGTGATATCGAAACAGTTTGGTGTGTGCAAAGCTCTGGAACGAAAACAATAGTAGGTTTGGACATGCTGATGGCGGTATCAATTAGAATAAGGGATAGCGCGACGAAAATATGACAGGAAGTAGTGGGATTGAAGGAGCATATAATGCAGAGTTCAACAACTTATTGGATGCCTCGGGATACCCACTTACTCTCGGTTGTTGCACTTGTAGTCGAGTTCTGTGCAAAGATTCCGTACGCCGCATTTTTAAAGTGGAGAGCTGATTAAAAATGCGTTATATCTACTAGCGGATCATGCACTATCAAGTATATTAAGGCAGCAAAAGAGTTGTCGTCAAAATAAAACGCGCCGTTGGCATTGGCAAGGTTGTTCGTTGGGTTCACGATCGAAGCAGCAATATTTAAGTATAGGTTAAGGATATAGACAGCTTAATTTTTCTTATTTATAGAAATTGAAAGTCTCCAAGATATTAATATGCTAGGCAAAATAACTTGATAAAATGATGTAGATTGGCTGGAAAGAGACCACCATGGAGAGGCACTAAGATTTTATTCTAGATTATGACGTGCATATCACAGGGCTTCTGGAAGTAATAGTATCATTCAGCTGTTGATATTGAAGTTCCCATGCCCGAAAATGATAAAGAAAATCCATTTGCCAAGTGTAAGGGAGCTGGCCAAAGTCGTTCCCCTTCACAAACATCTCTTTTGTACTTGTGCACACTTCTATGCAAGAAAAAAGATCATTCGAGGCCTAGCGGCACAGCGTTGGTAATAGCGAAAGCATCATCGTAGGATGCAAATGCTTGTGATTGGATACAAAGTTTAGCCAGAAAAGCACCAGTAACAACAGCGATTGCCGATAGTCTCACCTGACATTGGATGACAGGAAGGTCTACCTCGCAAAGCGCCCCATTATGATCCAACACCCCTTACAGTAAGGGAGTTTGGCGTTTTTTGTATACAAGATGCGCCTTCTAGCGGGCAAAGTTCGTTGGTGCTCACCTTGTTGTTTATTAGGCTCAACCTCGAATTTGCAAGAAAGCCGTTCATCGCATTTTCTGCTCACAATACACCATGCTGTAATGTTTGAAGACATAGTTCAACACCGAACCAGCCAGGAAAGTCGGATCCGGGCCCTGAGCTACGAAACACGACTATCGCACTATTGGTTCTTGCGTCCATCTTCGTGGCGCTACGCTTTGCTGCTCGCCTTAAGCGTGGTCTTACCTATGGAGCAGATGACTGGATGATCATGTTCTCTCTAGTACGTGTCTATGCATTCCTAACCTCTGCATCAGACAGCTTACCTTGGGCTTACTTAAAGTGCAGTTTGTTTGCTTCGTTACTGGAGGACTTAGCTATGCCAGTATGTTCATGCTTGCAAAGGGGGTTTTTTTTAATTTCCTAACATCTTCAGCGATTCATTGGGGATTGGGAAGCCATGCTATCACTCTGCCTCTCGACAACATCACCGTGGTGCTAAAGGTAAGAATCTCATATCTACGAAGGCACGCTAGGTAAAACTCCACTAACTGAGATCACTCAAACTCCTAGTTGCTTTCGAATTTGTCTACTGCACTGGCGTGGGATTGGTCAAGCTGTCACTACTGCTGATGTATATGCACATCTTCCCGACAAAGAACTTTCCAACCGGCGCATACATCTTAGGATTTGTGACGATTGGTTGAGTCATCGCCATTAATTGCGTTACCATCTTCCAGTGCAATCCGATCAAGAAGGCATGGTTGGGTTCCACAATCAACGGTACCTGCATCGAACTCAAGGCCTCGTTTATTGGCAATGCCGTACCCAACATCTCGACCGACATCGCTATTCTGTGTGTGCCTGTTACTCAAGTGTTGAAGCTTCAAACATCGAACACACAACGCGCTTCTGTCATCTTCATGTTTCTACTTTGAGCATTGTTAGTACCCTTCCGCCTTTAGTGGCACTGTCTTCGCCACTGACTACGATTCGCAGTGTGCTTTTCGCCAGCGCCTACCGTTTTGCAACAATTATGCAATTCGATATAGCTGATACAACGGGGACACTGGCGATGGCGTGCACCTGGTGCGTTGTGGGGGTCGCATCTGGCATTATAAGTGCCTGTCTGCCCACGCTGCACCCATTTATGCTCATCATCTCGTCCCAATTCAGTAACATCCGAAATCAGTCCGACAAGGGGTCGGCCACGGAAAGGCAGTCGAGCAAGACACAGCTTGTTACTATCGGCGGCACAGGGAGCAAACGCAACCAGGACTTTGAGCGCCTCAAAGACGACTACGAGGTTCACTGCGATTTTGTTGCAACATATACGCATGGAAGTCGTGATGACGCGTTGTTAAGTCGTCACAAGAGTCCTCTAGCTGGTCAGAGGCCACACCTTTGAGCTGATTTGTATAGGCTTGAAAGCTAGAGCATAGTGCCACTAGATATAGGAGATGTGTAAGTGGTAATGTCGTGGCTTGAAATATTGGGTCTTGCGCTAGTGTTGGGGTCGCCAAAATGCTTGGTAATGCGTATGACTAAATGCTGGCCAGCATGCGGAGTGTCACTTTTAAGCCGTGGTTACCTACATGTTTTTAGGCAATTCTTACTGCAGCTTTAGCTGCATATAACAATTGGTCCTGGAGGGGTTTTCGTGCACAAAGAAATGCGATCTGATTGGTTCTAAGAAGCTCTGCGCTGATTGGCCATACCAAGATGTTAGAAATCTCCGTATTCAGATAGCATCCAGTAACGCTAGAATCTCCGCCAGCCCAATCAGCCAGAAAACCAGCCCAACAACGAGCAGAAAACGAGCTGAACAATCAGCTCTCCACAGGACCCGAGGGGGAGCAGTGGGCGCGCACCACAGGCGCGCCTTACATGATGTATAAAATGGGTAACTCTGACGGCCCAGCTAGCGGTGCTGAAGGAGAGGTGCAGCTCAAGCAATGGATATATACAGTAAGTGAAGCTCAAGCCGCACCTTCCTTTAGTACAGCCAACCAGGCTGTCAGAGTTGACTGTTTTCGTATATGATATTACTTGAGGAAAAAATGCTTTGATTGCGTCATTAGATTCTTAGTGGGCATCATCCTTGTACACAGTTGTTCATGTCAATCCTGAGATCGAGAAACGTACCTCGTCACGAGGCGAGTTCGTGAAATTAGCTTCTTCCTCGCGAGTCTGGAAAAATTAGTTCATATGTTCCTGCTCTTTATCCGTTTTTCCTTCTAAGACTAAGTTTTTGATTTATATACAACGCCTGAGAGCATGGCTGAACTTTTGCGATGGCGCACGTAAAGAGTTCATGTCAGAGTTTTTCGGTCTCTGTGGGCATCAGACCAGTAAGGGTTTTTCTTTGGATTGCCGTCTTCGAACGGCGTCGTAGTATACGCGTTGAAGAAATATGACATGGAGTGTGCTTATGGAATAACTATATTGGATCTACGTGTAGTCACTATTCTGTGACAAGCTACTTTCAGCCTGCCCGAGCCGCGCACCAGATGCTTCTTCCATGAAAAAGTCAACGGGTGCAGCATTCCGTCACGGGTATAAAATTCGGCGTGTTAATTCCCGATTAACAGAGCCGGTGTTTTGAAATCGAGAATGCACTAGGCTGGTATACATCCGATTGACCCGCGGAGGCTTTTTAAGGTTTGGGAATGGGCCCAGCGGCATGTGTCATGTTGATCACGGTACTAGTGGCGCAATGGGCGGATCTAGCAACGGAAGTCTGCGCCCGAAGAGTCGCGGTTTACTTACCTCAGTCAGCGCTGCAGTAAATTATTTTTGGTCAGAAGGTGCTACGGAAATATTCGGGTGTAGAAATGCAGAACCGCTGTTGTGATGATGAGGCTGGTTGCTGCTTCAACGTCTTGTCCTTTTCGCACTCCTACTACGCAGATCGGATCATACCGGTCACAGGATCTACAACATCCCTGTACCCCACATGTCTTCATCGGCGAACAATCTTATCGACAATCCTGCTCACTGTCTACCCAATCGGAGTATTCGATCATGAAGCTCTTGATGGTCGCTCGACTAGGGCCGGCTGCCTGTCGGAGGTTCGACGCGTGCATGGAACCCTTCAAGTCAGGATGATGCTCGGACGATCCCCTGCCTATGCGATAAGGCGGTCAAATTCTGGCACGACTTGTGTCAGTGCCACAGGTACCACTGGTACTTAGCAAGGACGACTAGAATGCAGTCGTTCTTAGTCGGAGCAATAGCGCTGGAAACCTCATGTCAATGAACCGCTGTCCGCGGATTCGACAAAAAACCTTTGCTCCCGACCTCGGGTTCCCGAATCACATTCTTTATATTTTGTAATGTTTTGGCACCGTGCAATTGCGATTGTGCTGTGCGCCAATGCTTTCACCTTAGCGGTTGCAGCACCAGACAGCACCACGGACGCATTAGCCAGAATCCCACCGTGCGGAGTAAGGTCTCTTTCGAAGACGTATATACGTGGATTTAGCTGAGCAGGACAGCTTGAATGTATCGCGGAGAAGTTGCCTCTCATCGGTTGCGGTCTTCTCGACCTTGAGTGCCAATGCAACTCTAAAAACTCGACCGCAATCCTGCAACCGTGCTTGCTGGATAAATGCACGTTTGACGAAACGTTTGGTACGTCTATGGCAGCATCAGTTTCGAACATCACTGACCTTTTTACAGGCATCCTTCGAGCACAAGCCGATCTCTGTAATCGACCACACGATTCGTACACACGGCTCATGATGGCCACAGCATATGTAACAGGAATCATACCTGTAATCGCTGTTGCTATGCGCTTTGCGTCGCGTTGGGTCGGTGGCAATCACTTCTGGTGGGACGATTGGCTCCATCTCGTATCAGCTGTAAGTCCACAAGCAGTAGCCGCTCTCTTCCATACTGACGATGGTTCGAGATTTTGTGCATTCCGCTCATGGTCTTCTTCATACTCAACGTTGATGCGGGAGTCGGCAAGCATCTTTGGGACTTGACATATCAACGTGTATACGACGTTGGGCTGTGGAGTACGAATCCAAACACACACAAACTGCATATCGTACTGACAGCCGTGCAGCCTACATTATCACCATCCTTTGGGCATTCGAGATGTTGCTACTCAAGTATAGCATACTATGCTTGTATCTCCGCATCTTCCCGAACGTATGGTTGAAGCGCGCTGTCTTTGTCTTCATGGCCTTTACAGCTTGCTTCACACTTCCCCTTATCTTCACAGCGGCTATCCGGTGCAATCCGGTCCGTGCTCAGTGGGATCTCGAAGCCGCAAAGACAGCAAAGTGCCTCGACTGGCTCATCATCCTGAAGTTATCAGTTGTCTACGAGATCATTGCAGAGGTCGTTCTGTTCGCCCTTCCAGTTCCGATCGTGCTCAAGCTCCAAATGGCGACAGCAAAGAAGATCGAGCTCCTCATGTTCTTTGGTGTCGGTTTGCTGTAAGGCGTCCATAATTCACTGTATGTTTACGCGACGTCTACTGACTTGCTTAGTCTCATTGGTGTCGTAATTGCACGCGTGCCCTTCTTGAAGGGCGTTGTGGATCAAAGCGACCAAACTTACACCATCGTTGCCTCATCCATGAGTACCTTTATCGCTAGCGGCCTCGGCCACTTTTGTGCTGCAGTCCCCACAGTACAAGCGTTGATAAGATTTGTTATAAACGGCTTCAAGAACAAGACTCAAGCATCCTCGAGCTATGGCCAGAGTGGTCGATCCTATGAATCAAGCAAAAAGAAGAGCTACAGGTCGTTGGAGGACAAGAAGAGTGCCGGCTCAAGCTACTCAGGCGCTACGTTCAAGGTATCAAAGCAACGAAGCAAGGATGCCGGCAGGGATCCGTACAGACTCTCGACACAGAACTTCACGAGGTTCGAGTGTGATGGCGATAACGTGGGTGAAGATCTCTCCATGGAGCTGCAACCAGCGGAGACCTTCGTCACCAAGCACAACCCCGATCAGGCGGGAGAATCGCGGGGTCATGACGGTGGAGACCAACCCATTACCGTTGTGGTGTCGAGTTCTGTTCTCGATGATTCAGCGTCCGACAAAGCTATACTTGACAGAGAGTACGTAAAGAGTACGTGAAATAGAGTTAATGATACAAATTTAATTATACAACCTTTGAAGGGCAGACGGAACACGAGAGCAAGATACCATGTCAGATGTCATTCTTGGTCATCGCAGTCCATCACATTATCCAAGCATACGCTATTTTCCTGGACTACACAGTCAGTGCATTCAAGTCGCCGACTCAAGAGGCAGCATAATAGGTACATCGGCCATGAACCCTCCGCATAGCGCACCACAGTACCGCATCGAGACTCAATCCTCGCACCTGATGAGCCGATCATTCAAAACACGACCTCGATATGCAGGCAGCACTCAACCCGACCCCGTCTCGCATATCCAAAGAGCTGTCGTCGGGTATCACACTGCATCACAGAACTGATGCAGCGCATTCAACCCCATATTTTATACTCCTTGACAGCACACGTGGTATTCCAACGGTCCGATTACTGGGCGAGTACGAGTAGTACTAGTAGTTCATATACGAGACCCTATTTCAACATGATCGCCCAAGCACGCGCAGCATCGCTGCTAGTCAGCAGCGTCTGGCACTGTGTGCTCGTTGTCGTATCCTTGTGTTGTGAAAGCTAGGCACCGCCGGAAAAAAAACACATATTCGTAGATGAGAAGGATTTTAAGCGCATGACTGAATTTCCATGGTTACGAAAACCCTTCGATGAGGCAGCCCGGTGCGCACAGTCGCGTCCAGCGTTGCAGCCTCGGCTAAACTTTAAAAAAAAAAGACTCTACTTACACACTAAGCAGACTGCACGGAACAAGCTAGAACGGCGCTCGCGTGGCACCCAGCGTGTAGGATTCGCACATGGTAAAGCCAAAGATCGGCACGAAGAATGGCATATCCCATGCGTCGCAGGTGAACTAAGCGTCGTGGCGTGCAGTAGTCTTGCCCCCTAGCCCCCAACCCCCGGATTTTTGCCAGTGCCACGGTGACAGGGTGTCAGCCCTAAATGGGCGTCAGGAGCCAGCCGAGCCTTTGGCGTTTCTTTTGGCTCGTTGAAGGCTTGATGCATCAGAGTACTTCCTGGTTGAGCGCCGATGTAACCAGAAATTACTACATATATACAAGCTGCTCACAATGTCGGAGTGGATAAACATCTCTTTGGTGGCTGGCTGGGGGTATGGTTAAAATGTATTGGTAAAAGGTTCTAACCTCGAGACGAGCATGTTCAGCACACTGTAGCCTTCCTCGTTATCAATACTAATCTAAATTTAACCCCCCACGTCTCTGAATGATCAACATTACCAATCTTTCCTTCGAGTGTTATATGTTTAAACTCAGACGATACACATAAACTTAATGTCTTTATTCATTCGAATATACAAATCTCAACTACAATCATAATACATATTTACATTGCAAGAAATTGGGTGACTAATGAAAATAGGAAACATCAGGACTTGATGATATCCCAGAATCATGAGGATTGTGATAATAATAGAGATAAACACTGCTGCTGCAACTCCATCATGACTACAGCGGGTTGTTCCACTGGGGTAGGCCCTTCCACTTCGTTTCAAAGTCTTCAATCGCCTGTATGAAATCACGATGTTCCTTATTCACTTCCTTCTCCGCGGGCGATTGGTTCGGACCATCCTCCCACTTGTCCTTTTCTGCCTTTGTAACCCATGCATTTTTCATCGGCAGAAGGTACTTATCGACAAGGTCATTGGTCTTGGACTGCATCGTGGTGTATTGGCCTTTCATGTAAGTGAGCCACTCGGACTTGAGATTCTGCTTCGACCATTTTGCGTATCCAGGGCGTTGGTTGGCGGGTAGCAGAGTTGTGTCGAGGGCGTCGAGTATCTTTCCTATGCGATCCGTCTGGGTCTTCATGGTTGTCTGGGTGGTCGAGTGGCTCTGGTACAAGCGAGAACCCATTGTGCTGCGCATCTTCTGGAGAATGACCCTAGCCTCTGCATATTTGGAAATGTCCCTGGTCCAAGAGGTAGGGTCCCACGGATTTCCGCCCGCCCACGCCCTCGTCTTAGAAGGCGTGTTGATGGCAGACTCAAGGGCGATAAACTCGTCTTTCTTGTATGTCCTTGTCGGATATTGCGCTGCAATATGCATAATAGGGTTCCAGGCCTTACCTATGCCGCCGGTCGTGTCCTCATTGGGCCACACAAAAGGGGGTACATCCCACAGCTCATTGACATAGTCACAGAAGGAAACGGTGGCTCCCTGGGCCGCACCTGGCTTCGGGTCAGGTAGCTTAAACTTCCTCTTCTTGTCGAGGTATTGGAAGAACAGGTCGATCATCTGGGCCTCGAGGACGTGCTCTGTGTGATACTCGACGTCTTTAGCGCGATTTTGCAAGGGGTAGCCAAAGTCAAAGTTGTTGCATTTCTCGGGATGTTCCCACCCCCATTCCAAGCCTTTCAGCTGACCGCCCGGGGGGAAGTCGCTCGAGATGTCGCATGCCCGATCACAGGCCCTGACAAGTTTTTCCTTGGCTCTCTTGTCAAAAATGTGAAGTGCCTCGCTTCCTGCGTGGTAGCCATGGCCATGGCCATGGCTTCGCTGCTGGTGAGCATGGAAATGTGCGGCAATGGCATTTTCATCAATGGTGGATGTTGGCGTCAGCACTTCCCTCTTGTGCTTGGCGTCTGTCCAGATGCCGCCCTCATTGCTCGCTGCTAGGCCAGCGTATGCTTCCTGGCATGTGATTCCTTTTTCACCGTCTTTAGAAGGACAGAAATAATCACCGGCGTTGAGAGTAAGCGCTGGACCGTATACACCACCTCTCTTGACCAGGGACGACATGTGCCCGCCAGATATGTGCCTCGTGAGCAGACTGGTGCCATATCTGTGCATAGATTCCACATCAGGCCCGGCAGCTCCCAACCCCGATATGTTTCTGGTCACGTCGTCGTCTTCTGAGCGGCCTTCAATGAGAAGGCGGCTCCGATCTTGGAGACTTCTCTTGGAAGGTATTGGGCCCAGGTCGGGACAAGTGCCGCCTTTGATGATGGTTTTTTCCCACGGGTCCGTCAGGTTGACCTCGCCACCAGCCCAGCCAAATGTCTTGGGCGCCGTTGCTCTCGCAAACAAGCGAGCGCCGATATCGAGACCGTAGGTAAAGGGGCATGTTGCCGTGGTTGAGATGCCTGTTGCGAACTTAGTCGTTAGGCTGACCTCGCCCACAACTGCAGCGGCCGCCGGGTCAATCTTCCATTTGGGGTCGAAGCGAACGCCAAACTCTGCAGCAGCTGATAGCTTCAGGTTCACATCTCCAGATGCGGTGACCCCGGCGTAGAATTCAGGCTTTTTGATTCCCGAGAAGTCACCCGTCCGATCCAGGCTTGGCTTGCTGTTGTCGATGAGCTCGGGCTTGTAGGAATTGGTGTCAGGCATGACTTGGCGGACCTACGAGTGGTTAGCAATCTTTTTCCTTGTAGTGCGGGTTTTAAAGAAAAAGAGGCAAAAAGGGGTTTGCTACTCACTTCCCACTTAGCGATCTCCAGTTTGGTCTCAATCAAGCCAGCCATGCCGAGCGAGGCATCAATGCTGCCCTCGACTGTGAGCTGGGGACCTATGGTGGCAATTCCAGGAATCTTAAACGAGGCACCGGGGAATGGCAAGTTGAGAATGACCTTTTTCTGCTCGTACGTCACGCGAGCGAGGGCCTCGAGGGTGACGACACCAGTGACCCTGCCCTTGTTGTAGAAGGTTAGGTAGCTCTGCTCGAGGTTAAGGGGCAAGGTGAGACTCTCGACGATAAGGGTGAAGCCGAAGCTGGACTCGACCTCGATGTCGAGGACGGCCTGGCCGAGCAAATGACCATCGTAGTTGACACCATCTACCGTTCCGGGGCAGTCCCACGATTCGTCAAATAGCTTTGCCGTGACGCTGTCGTCGTACTTGTGCGTGAAGTCACGTTTGATCTCGGGTACGACGAGGGCGGCCAACCAGTCAAGGATACTCTTGCCGAACCAGCGCTCTTGCAGGTCTCGAGGGGCAATCTTGTCAAAGTGGAAGTCATCGCGGAATTCCTCCTCGAGCCAGCGCACCGGGTTCCCACCGACGTCTTCCAGCGTGCGCTTAGCCAGTCTCTTGCGGCCATGGACATCTCGCTTCCGGGTGGCAGAGCCGGCGACGATGTTTTTCCAGTAGTCGTCCTGGATGCTGTAGTCGATACGCATCTGCGTGTTGCCCATGTCACGCGGCACGCGGTGGAAGTCGTAGTCAAACGTCAGTTCGTAGACGATGGGCTCGAGGCTGGCTAGGTGCGAGAGGTGACGGGGCAGCAGCTTGACATGGTCGCTGGTACTGCCTGGGGCTGGCGTCATGCTCTTTGCGACTGCATACTTGCCTGGTCCGCAGCCCTTGGGCATCTGGAGAATGGTGCCCGGGACACCATGGCCAAGGCCAATCTTATGGCAATTGCTGTCAGGCGTATGGTCGTTGCAGACCATGCGCACCGTGTGCTCGCCCTCGGATATGGAGTCGTTGCAGTCAAAGACGTCCCAGTTGGAGCCGTCGCGTTTGTCGAGCGAGATCTGGAGCACCTCGGGCGAGACGAGCACCACGAACTGGAAGGCCGCCTCATTGGGATTGTCATCGCCGCCGTCAGATGTCTTGTCTGTCTTGAAGATGAAGTCGGTGTCGGAGCCGCCCTCAGGCGGGTGCTCAAACAGGTTCTTGAGGTCGACGGGCAGGAAGAGAGGCTCGCCATCCGACTCGCAGCAAAAGGTGCGGACACGTTCGAGGTGAGGGCCGCAAGTGTCGCTGCCGCCAAAGTACGAGTCGGTGATCTGTACCGTCTTCATGTCCGGACAGTGGCCATCGAAGCAGTTGCCGGGCTTCCCATACCACGCACAGTTCTTCCACTTGGACACTTCCTTCTCCGGGCAGCAGTATAGCTTCTTGGTATCAATATCCAGCTCCTCGAGAACCTCGACCAGTAGTAGCCCCGTAAGCGCTGCCAGTGGGTACGCGCGACCGACAATGCGCAAGATAATCTTGGCCACGTCGTCGAGGATATCCAGGACAGTGCCGGAGAAGGTTAGGGGCAGTTCACCACTGTGGCACTTTTCGCCCACGCCTCGCCACTTGCAAACATTCTTCTCACCCAGCGAGCTCTCGCAGCAGTGCGCCATCTGGCCATCCAAGCAGTCATGGCCACCACCATACTTGCTCATGTGTGTCATGACCTCGTCGTCTTTGCAGTAGCCATTGCACCATTTCGTCGCGCCTCCACGCCATGTGCACGACTTGGGGTCAGGCGCTCCCGATAAAGGACAGCAGAGAGCGCTCTTCTGTTTCTTGCCGCATTTTTGGTCAGTAATCTTGACCTCGCCCGACGGGCAGTCTTCAACACCACATTTGGTAATGTAGCACCTGTCGTTAGTACCCGTCCAGTTCTCGTCTCCTTTGTCAATCGACTTGAAGTCACCTAATGGCTTGGGGTCTAGGACCGCAGCTAGTGCAGTCATCTCGGCATCGTCCTGATCAATGGCCCAGATCAAATAGCCTCCAAGACCGAGCTTGGCCGCCATGTCTTTCTTTTGCTTGAACGTCTCCTTGTCATCAAAAGACACCCACTGGTCAGTATTCCACGTAATGTACTTGACACCGGCCTCCTTGTCGTGGATCGGCTTGATCTTTTTGTTCTTGATAATTTCTTGGATCTCGCGGTAGCTCAGGATGCCAGACTCGCCACTGCACGCTCCCTTGGTTGCACCTCCCTTGAAGAGACAGCCGGGCTTGTTGCACGACGGATCCGCAAGCTGGAATGCGCGACCATAGAATCCAAGACCCATGTTTAGCTTGTTTGCCGGGACATCATTTCTCCAGAAGAGATCAAATGCTAGACTCATCTCCGTCAGGTTGGTGTGGCCGTAGATATGAGAACCAATCGGATTTTTACGATCCCAAACACCGTGAAGACTGTTCGTACCGTTAGTCGGCGTGTAAAGAAAAGAAGAAGAAAAAATCACTTACTCATATGACATGACGTTGACAAAGTCGGTATAATCAACCGACTTGAGATCAAAGTGGCGCAGATACCAGAAGCTAGTCGGAGCTGTGTAAGACACAATGTACTTGACAGGCTGCTTCTTGTTCGCCTCCTGGAGCTCCTTTAAGAATTGGGTAAAGTTCACGCCGTCCTCAGGGACACCACCGCGGTCGTCCGCACCGGGGTACTCCCAGTCAAAGTCGACACCATCAAAGGCGTACATGCGGAGGAAGGACATGAGGTTGCCGATGAACTTAGAACGGTTCGCCTTGGTACTGACCATGTTGCTAAACACCTTTTGTAGAGGGCCCGGGTCGTTGTGCGTCCAACCACCAATGGCAATGATCATCTTGAGGGCCGGGTTCTTCTTCTTGAGGTTGGTGAAGTCTGTAAACAGCTTGTCGGGCAGGTTGTCCATGCCCACGATCTGGAAGTCGGGCTGAATAAAAGCAAAAGAGAAATACAAATGAGTCAGAGAGTTGACGGGGATGTCGTCCAAGCCCTATATCTCACGGTCAGTCGGACATACATAATGTTAGGTAGTAGAGTGCAATCACCATATCCTGACATTTGGAGTTGTATCTCCATGCCTCATAATATCCAATAACACGGTTGAGCTGGTCGGAAGACTTTTTCTTGGGGCCTGGCTGGTCGCAGTTGGACTGGCAACCGCCAGTAGCTCCGTGGTCCTTCTTATCACAGAAGTCCCTGTTTGTCCAATCGTCAATACTGATCTACAACGCCATCATCTTCATAGTTTGGAAGTGTACGTACTTTGTCATTCCGCAGAAACCCCACTTGCCACAGCAGACGTTCAGAGGACACTTTTGGCCAGGGATAGCTGCGTTCTTGCCGCATTCTGCCTTAGCATCGCAGTTGGACCAGCACACCTCATTGGGAGAAATTCCAGATGTGCCACAGGCTCTACACGAAGAGAGGAAAATATCAGCCATGTTCCAGAGCAATACGACACAAACCACGAATATAACGGTGAGAGTAAGAAAAAACATTTTTCAACAAGCTGAACGACAGGAAGGAACGGGAGGGGAGACGTACTTCTCACCGTAATTACACTGGCCAGTTTCCTTGGGACAGCATGCTTTGTTTTCGCAAGGGCGGTCAGGGCCACAGGTATAATCGTCGCCGCCGACTACCTGTCTCCCGAATAGGGAGGAGAGCTCTGTGCGTCCTATCAGGGATACGCCAGTCTCGAGTGACCCCGGGACGATTTCGCGCCCCTCAGCGTCAACGAAACCACTATTGTCATGAGCAACAACAAGACCGGAGCTGTCAGTACTGCAGACTGGTAGCTCATGGTCACGACGGTTCTTGGCCGAGTAATCAAAAGGTCTAAAATTTTGCGGTGACGAGTCAGCGCAATGAACTCTACCGGTCCAGGTTTTGGGACATGGCTCAGAGAAGTTTACTTACGAAATGACGGCGCGACAGGCACCGGGGATTTCGGGTACCTTAACCGCGTTGACACTACCAGGCCTTGCTGTGATGACTGCTCCAAGAGAAGGGGTAATGAGAGTAGATAGAAGCGCACAGCTCCATGAGAGCCGGAACCATGGTCCCATAGTTGCGTTTAGGGCTGAGTTTTTGGGGGCTCTGCCCAGCAACAGAAAACAATAATGATCAAAAGAATGTGTTCCCCAATGAGAGAGTGACGGAGGGTTGGAGAGTTTACAAGAAAATTAGAAGAGGGAGCATTTGCAGAGGCAACAAACAAAGTCAGCTACCAGATATCTATAAAGAGAAGTCGGCCGAAAAGAGAGAGGGTGCCGTGAAGTATCGTGTGATAAAAGAGCTTGGCTGGTGTTCTGGAGCAACCCGGCCCCCAATCTCAATCTTGATATCCATACTAAATTCCCTTACCCTGCATGTGCAAAAGGCCATGCTGGGACCCATGCGGCGAGGTCTCGGCTCTACTGTATTCTGGTACCTGGCAGGGCCCACAAGTATCGGATGTCGAAGTCAAAAGGTGATCTTCCTACTTTGCCATTCGTCCGCTCGGAGGGAACTGCCAAGCATTGCCTTTTTAGGAGAAAGGGTCGGAGTATATTGAATTACCATCTGATATGGTGCTTACTGATGGGGGTTAGATAGTATAGCGAAAAGCGGGCCGCTTCATTACCCCTGCGTGGACCCTGCGTGAACCCTGCATGTCCAAAGCGCATAAGCAATAGAGAGCAGAAAGCCTTGTCTCGGCGAGAACCGTCCCGTACCGGACTGCGACAGGCCAACGGTTCGCCTGACGCTAGGTTTAAAAAGTGGGGATTGAGCTGGCCGAAATCACTGTGTAGTTGCACGCCTTACACAGAAGCGAAATAACCCGGCACGTGTTCGTAGCATCCAGAAATCAAATTTGCATCCAATCTCGCCCCATCATGAAGAAAATCTCCCATTCAGGCAGGTAGTCGTAGATTAAAAAGCTTATGCATAGTACCTTGACCGTTCCCCTACGTAAAAACTTCCTAGAGTGGATTGCTCTGGTGGCGTGGACTGACGATCATTGATATCTTGGCAGCAGGCTCTTTTGATCCGCTCTATCACATCGGGCGCTTGCGTCCCGGCCAGTACGAGACGGGACGACGACAAGTTGAATTGGCTGCCCTTCCTCGGAGGAAATTTCTCTTGAACCTAGGCGACTGTTCTGTGCCTCCAGTACTCTAGAGTCATTGACCCTTTCTAAATTGCTTATCACTCTTGCGGTCCCCGGTTATTTCTCATGTCTAGGTAGACACATTACTCCCTCCATCCATTGTTTGGATGCACTACCCTCTTCTGCTCACTGTTCATTCTTTCAACTCTTGGTGAGAGAAGTAGGAAAACACGATCCATCAACATCATGGTGGCCTTGCGACGATTTTTTTTGAGTCTCGGGGCTCTTCTGAGCCTGAGCCCTAGCACTGTTTTCGCTGTCAAGATGCTCTACGACGATAGTCTTCCCGAGGATCTCGATGCGGCATGTTCTGCGGCCCTCATGGCTGATGTCGCTTGCGACCGTCTCGTCCCGGCCCTTCGCCATGACTTCTACTACCCTCCTGCCACGCTGACTCGCATATGTACCGCTGGGTGTGCTTCTGCGCTCCAGTCATGGGAGAGCTCTGTCCGGTCCACCTGTGGCAAAGACCTTGTCATTCCCGACCTTGACGCATCCCCCATCATGTTGCCAGCTAGCCGCCGGTACATCTACAACTTCACATGTCTCAAAGAGAACAATGTCTTCTGTGGCCCCGTTGCGGCCCTGGCAGCTTTCTTCACGAATCCTGGAGGTGAGTCCCCCACCCCGCGCACGAGTTCCTACATGACGTGATGGCCAATTTCAGACTCGCTAGCACATCACTACTAACAGCTTGCTAGTTTCCGCCTTCAACTATATCAATGAACTTCCCCAGGGCGCCGTTCAGCCCTCGGATTGTGACCCGTGTCTTGCAGCCAGACTGCGCGTGCGATCTGGGTCGCCCTACTTTGACGGCCCCGTAGTGGCCAGCGAGTCTATGTACCAAACCCTGACGTCCAGCTGCAGCATCACGGGCAAGCCTGCTACCACGTCTACAATTGACTATTTCACCGGCCAGCCGGAGCCCACTGAGTCAGCCTGCGACGGCACCACGTACCAGATCCAGGGCAGTGATGATTGCTACAGCATCTCCAAGGCACAGAGTGTCGGTACTGCCTGGATGCTGTCCGACAACCATCTCGCTGCGTATTGCTACGAGTTCCCAACTTCGGGTAGTCTCTGCATCACCAACACATGCAAGACCGTTACAGTCGAAGTCAACACGACGTGCAAAGCCATTGCTGCGGCTGCAAAAATCACAGCGCCACAGCTGTTGGCTTGGAATCCTGTTATTAACCCGGTTTGTTCCAACCTCAACATGATGAACGGCACCACGCTTTGCATCGAACCACCCGGACCTAAGCTGCCGCCCGCCCAGACAACAAATGTTCCTCCAGTAACGCCTACTTCTGCTGCTCCAATTCCCTCTAATACTGCCATTGGATCTAACAAGCCATGCGGCCGCTGGTACGAGATCGAAGCTGGCGACTACTGCAACCTGGTGACTCTCAAGTTTGCCATTTCTCTCAACGACTTCATGTTCCTCAACACAGGCATCAACTCCAACTGCACCAACCTTTTTGCACAGGAGAGCTACTGTATTCAGGCGGTTGGAGACATCAACAACTATCCTGGTCGTCCCGGATATGTCTCCATCACCATTGACCCCAGCGCATCCTTTACTGGCATCCCCTTCACCATGCTACCCAACGCCACCATGACCCTGGATCCAAGACCGACCCAGATCCCATTGGCTACCGGTGTCCGCGATGACTGCGATTTCTACTTCAAGGGCGATCAGTATCAGTATTCGCCTGACGTGTTCGGGTACTGGAATAGCAACTGCGAGATCGCAGCATCCAGCTACAACGTCGACTTTGACAGTTTCGTCGCTTGGAACTCGCTCACTACAAATGTCACTGACCCGGCATGCGTGTTCCAGGTTGGCCTACGGTACTGTGGCTCCTGGGGTCCGGAACCCACGCAAGCCACCACCACAGCGCCCGAGCCCACGGATACCGGGCCCCAGCCACCAGCTGCCACACACGAGGGCCAACCGTCAGACTGTGACGGCTGGCATGTTGTGTCTGGTAGTGACTCGTGCCGGTCCGTCGCCGACAATGCTGGAATCTCCCTTGCGACATTCCTCGAATGGAACCCTGCCGTCAGCGCCGACTGTACTGCCAACTTTTGGCTCGGACAGGCGTACTGTACGCACAGGCAGGGCCAGGGCATCAGCATCACAAGCTCTGCATCAAGCACGGCGTCAACGACAGCCAAGCCTACTCCCCCGGCTCCCACACACACCGGCCAACCTGCCGACTGTAACAAGTGGGATGTCGTGGCAGAAGGTGACAGCTGTGGTTCACTAGCCAGCGACAACGGCATCTCAGTCGATCAGTTCTTCGCCTGGAACCCTGCCGTTTCCAAGGACTGCATCACCAACTTCTGGTTGGGACAAGCATACTGTGTTGGCAGATCCGGTAGTGGCTCCGTCGTCACGACGACACCATCATCAACGAGATCCTCTACCCCGTCCCCAACGGCAGCTCCGACCCCTCCTGCGCCGACACACACTGGCCAACCGTCAGACTGCAACAGATGGGATGTCGTAGCAGAAGGCGATAGCTGTGGCTCCCTCGCCAGCGACAACGGCATTTCAGTCGACCAGTTCTTCGCCTGGAACCCTGCCGTTTCCAAAGACTGTATCACAAACTTCTGGCTTGGCCAGGCATACTGCGTCGGCCGATCTAGCGTCGGCAGTAATACTCCTACTACCAAGACGACATCGCAAACATCGACAGCAAAGCCGACGCCGCCCGCGCCAACGCATACCGGCCAGCCCGCCAACTGTAACAAGTGGGATATTGTACAGACCGGTGATGATTGCGCGTCCATGGCGCGTGACAACGGTATCACGGTTGATCAGTTTTCTAGCTGGAACCCTGCTGTCTCGAGGGATTGCGTGACGAATTTCTGGCTTGGGCAGGCGTACTGTGTTGGTATTTCTAGTTAGAGATATTCATTAAGATTAGTTATTTAATTGTATTGATACATGCAGCTAGGTGATTCATTGTTTATTGGAGACTTAGATACAAGGGTTACGGACGTATTAGTCTCTTTCTGCTGGATGTCCAGACGATAAACTCCTTATACTCATTGCAGTCTCTCGCCTGACTAGATAGGTGAAGACTCGCTATTTCCCAACAAGTCGTGCCCCGCCGTAGATCTATACTTGTCCCACTCAAAATCGAGCCACTCCTGCCGTCCCAAGCTTTCGAACAAACCTATGACTTCCTCGCTGGGTCTCCACTCGCCGACCTGCCACTGCACCACCGGCGGTGTTGATCCTGCAACAGCAGCATCGTCAGCCTTCTGCCTCTTGCTACCACGCCCTGCAATAAACTTGACACCCCATCTGTGACCCTTCTTCATTGGAAAGCCATATTTCTCCACGTCCCTGTCGTCTGAAGGGTCCCACCACAGATGCGTGAAAATCTCAGCGTCCTCGAGGCTCGGCATATTGTCACGAGTCAGAGACTTTGCAAATGCTGCAAGTAGAGGCTCAATTCGCTCCCTGCAGGGCTCAATACGGAACATATCCAGATCGTAGTCGTACTCGTCGTCCGGGTTGTCGCCGTACTCGGCATCGAGGTCCATGTCTTCGTCCGTGTCGGTTTCGCGGGGGTAGTGTTTTGTGTCTGAGATCTTATACCCCCCTTGTTCAGAGTCGTGCGGATCTTCGCCACCAGGGCCGACAAAGTACCACCGCCCGTCTGGGCGGAGGGAATGAAACTCGAGCCGGAATCGCCGCATCTGTGTCCACTGCTGGTCCTCTGACGCTTCGGGGCTGGGGAACAAGTCGGGAGTGACCATAGCACGCACGTCAAACAGGCTTAGCTGCGCACCGAGCTTACACAGGCCGATAGAGACCGGGTCCTTCTCCGCGGGATGGATCAGGTTAGGCCGTGCCACGGACTCGTCATGCTTGGGGCGCGAGAAGAAAGGCCAGAAGTACAATGCAGCTCTAGTCAAACTGGCGGGGATCCTTTTTCCGCCGAGGTGCTTCTCTTGGTCCATAATGGCAGCGCCAAACTCGTGGCGGGCGTCTCGGAGGGGGCCCTCCCATGGCCAGGTGTAGTACTCGCGCATCACCCTACTTGGCATAGAGGCCGGCATAGGCCGCTCCCACAACCAGGGGGCATTCCATTCTTTAACAGCTGGCAAGTGGACAAGGCACTGTAGCGGCACGAGGGGAGATAGAGGGCGTATGTCTGTCGCGTTCTCGGCGCCGGAGCCATACGATCTTGACCTGATGGCCAGTTTGCTCACAAAAGGCAAATCTGGTAGTGTCTCTGAGTCCTGCAGCTGCAGGCGGCGCGAGTGATACCTGCGATGGTGGCAACTTGGCTCTTCTGGGTCAAAGTTTTGCGGCTGGATTTCGAACCTGATGGCTATACTAGCTGGAGGATCCTCAGTCTCGTCGTAGGCGGTGGCAATCTGCTTGTAGAAGGTATGAATGCGTGCCGACATGTGGGCGCTGACGACAATGGTTTCCTCAGCAGGTTCATGGCATGCCAGTGGCTTCTCTGCATACTCATCAACCAGGAGGAGCGGTAACGGGAGATCATATTCGCAAACTCCGAATTTTGCGTCTAACGCTGCTTTGGCCGTTTCAAGAATCTCATTCTCAAAATCTGGATCCGTCTCGCGAAGCGGCATATTGACTGATACAATGTTGGGAATTAGTGGTGGAAGGGACGCGGAGTGGAGGGTAGCGGAAACGACCATTATATAGCCGGGGGGGCCCCTGTTTGCTTCGATCTTAGCCTGAGCTTGCCTCTTGAAGACGTAGTGGGATCGCTCGTAGGTGGGTCCATTATAACAGGTCCACTTAGCGATCGACGTTGCGACAGAATCCTTTCTTCCGATAGAAAGATAATCGCCCCTTTCTTTTGCTCTAGTTTAGTAAATGTTCTTCGCTTCCGAGCGACCTTGCAGCTACTGATGAGGACGATCAGTAGAAACATACCACTCCACTGTAAACAAGCCATCTTTGGATGGCGGCGATGCGTTTGGATGTGACACTTGGTGTGAAATAAACAATGACGTACTAGGATAAGGTTAATGCTTTTTGTTCCATTCCTGAGATGGGAGTTTTATTGAAGTACGTTGAACATATAGCTATGACCTCGCGAGAGGAGTTAGTGCCTCAACTCTTGACTGTTTGCTTACTACTAACCCATATCGCTTATCTCCGGGGTGTAATGGCGTTAGAAACAAGCACAGACTACGACCTGATATTGTTAAATTATACAGCTGCACAAATTTTTATATTATAGATGAACTGAGTTTTACTAAACCGGGGGTAATGCTTTAGAGCGGTGGATACACTCCACGGATCAAGGCCATTCTTAGTGATACGAAATTCATAACATATTGTAACGGCATCCGAACGTACCCCTGAACAACTGGAATTTTTAAGTATTCGCAGCTTCAGGCCTTGAAGGAGAGCGCGAAAGATCATTTCACACATCCCTTGGGGCACGTCGATCGACGTTTCACTCGAGGCAGCGATGTTCGCAAACTAGTTACATATATAGAATTTCTTTCTTAAAAGAGGCAAAGATCAGTCGACCGTGAAGCAAATCACGCTAATGCTACGTACTCTTTATATGACTGCTGACATGGAAACGTTCATAACCCTTCTAATTTGGCTCACATATCATCTCCATACAGATCTACGAAAGCTAAAAAGGCCACTCGAAAAAGTACGTATACTCTACAGCTCCGGGCCTGTTTGGTTGGAAATCCGTTTTCCAACTGTTAAACTTAATCTAATAACAATATGATCTACGTCTAGAATACTGAGGTGAAAGCGGAGGCGGAACACGGAGAACCGAACAGGCCCTCCGTGATATTCGTCTACAATGTTTATTTTCTGCAAAGAAAATCAGACCAACATGTATTCTGATAAACAGATCCTAGCAAGAGATTTCAAACCCAACTATATGTAGTCTTTCATACGAAACTTTTCAACTGAAGGTTTACACCCGAGTAAGAGGTCAGCATGGCAAAAGCCCCTATGAGTCGAACAACTATAGTTATAAAAAACAAGGGAAGAAAGAAGACTACCTTATAACCCCAGATCTCTATAGTAAGTATATGCAAGTGAGTGATAGCTTGTACGCTATTCACGATCATGCGCACTCGCCTTAGACGACTTCTACCAGATTCATCAAGTGCAGTACTACCCAAGCAATACCGAAGCCGTCAGTCTGACCCCCACTTGTATTCCAATGGGTATGATATTCGATATCAGGATTCTGCAATATTATTTGCGATACGAAAGGTCAAATATATCGAAGTTTTACACATGGTAAAAAGGAAATCTAGAAGTACATCAAGCAGTATCACATCTGTTTAGACGGCTGCTGTTCCATCGCCAAGTTAACAGCATACACAATCGTTTCATCCCTAGTGTACACCATGGCGTGTTTCTTCCTCTTGCAGCCTCTACTATTCCTCTCTTGTTAGTTAATTTTACTCGCGCATATACATACCCAGACTAATGACAGAGTACAGGGATCACTTGTATATTTGCTATCCCTCATAATCTAGTAGTCCGGCAGGGTACATAGTTGTATGTCAACATCATCTGCAAGTACAAGCTTGCTAGCTTGTAATGGTGCTGTTGAAGTTGATGTATGTCTACTACTCTCGCAGTAGGTGCACAACTAATTTAATCGGCTGCAACCATCTTCGTATGGCAATCAACATCAATGAATCTACTTTATATAAGCAGCTGCTAAAAAGGTTTGTGAATCGTATATTGACAAGTGTAAAGTCACAACACTGATTTAGATCCATTCCAAGTAACTGCCTATCAGACCCATGGTGGAGGAGGGTGAGACCTTCACGTGGGGATTCGACGGTACCATACTTTGACTGTTGGCTGTACTCAAGATAAGAAATCTATCCCTAACAATAAAAGGGCAGATGACCAAATTTAACAATGATGCTTTTTAGATGATCCTTGAATTTACTGACCGGAACTGAGAGAATATAACTACTGGCCCCTTTAATGAATGTGAAATGACGACTACAGCGCCCGTGTGGAGCCTTCCGGATGTAAAAGCCTCAAGTATAGATAGGAAAATTCAACCCAGCTAACTCTTAGACCAAGATTGAGTACAACTCGTTGTGGCAGCGTAGTGGAAAACAAACGATTTCTGGTACGACCTCACCAAAAGTGTCGTAAGTCATAACATGGGAACTTTAGAACGAACAGGGTCAGTGTTCGTTTGCGAAGAAAAAAAAGGGTAGCATTTGTCTTGACGAATCAATTTTTACCTCTATGCCATGTGGGGCGTCGTATACCGCCTCTAGAGGGTTAACTAGTACTTGTAGTTAGAACATGGCCACATTCCTTTGGCATCAGACGAAAGTCCCTCTATTGTATTATCGAATCAAGTCACTTTGGCTGAATTTGCTGCAAATTGTAGAGAGTATACACGAGCCATCGAGTCCCTTCGTTTCCTCTTAAATGGTCAATGGCTTCTCCAATTTGGACCACGCCTAAAGTATTCATTCAGTAAATCTTTATCTAGTCTAGTAATGGAAAAGCTTACTAAGTACAAATCATGAGCAAGATCTAGTGGATACAATTCTACCCCTCCCTGGGCCCATTCGGCGATAAAATTCGTGCGGGTGCTTTTGCACAAAGAAATCCGTCTTCGGGGTCTGCATGGCCGGGGCAAGCATGAAAAAGAACGCCTTCTTAGCCCGTAAGTGTTGCAGTCTCTTTACGTATGTACATGTAATGATATGAAGCATTGATTAACTGTCTTGGTACATGGGGCCACGTCATGTTGGTATTACCCGTAAAACATACTTTATCGTTACTACGGACGTTAAGATAGGAAGCGCAAGGTTCGCGCTGACATTATCAGCTGACTAATTGTGTAGCCTGTTTTCTAAGGTTTATTGATGCCAGAAAGTTACATCGAGCTGGTGAGTTAGAAGGTGCGCACACCAACGGCATTACGCATCACGCTATTGTGATACATCTTAAGAAGTCTATGATCAACGTGAATTTCGCACATTCATTCGTAATACCAAACGATCTAAAATAACGATAGTAAGCGAAGCGATAGGATTCGAGAAAGAAGCTATATACACCTAGCTAGAACACACTAGCCATCTGACTGCCTCCCAATATATACCCGGTTGAAGTTCAAAACCTTCTTATAACGCGTTGACAAGGGATTTGTAAGCCTGCTTGGGCTGGTAGTTGGTGTCGAACAAGAGAGGGCGGTCGTTGGCGCGCCAGCTGTCCTTGTCGGAGACACCCCAGACAGTGATACCAACACACTTTGAGACGGCAAGACAACCGTTCATGACGGTGAGGAAGTCGCTTGCTGCGGAACCGGCGATATCAAGCTCCGTGACGGCAATCTCCTTGACATTGGCGGCGGCCAGTGTCTTGAGGGCGTTGGGAACGCCGGAGGCTGGGTTCCAACCGCCAGGTGCGGCAAGATGGGCTTGTGTGCCAATACCGTCAATGGGAATGCCCTGAGACACCCATTTGTTAACGTGTGCGACCATACCGGTAGTAACCTTGGCGTAGTTGGCAATATCCAGGTTGTAGTCGTTGATGTAGAGCTTGGCGTTGGGATCAGCGGCGCGTGCGGCGCGGAAAGCGATACCAACAAAGTCTTCGCCGAGGACACGGCTGAAGACGCTGTCTCGAAGTTGGCCATTCTCGGCGAAGATCTCGTTGACAACATCCCACTGCAAGATCTTGCCCTTGTAGTGCGTGACGATCTGTGTCACGTGGTTCTGGATGACGGAGGTCAGGGTAGCGCGGTCGTTGATCTGTGTAACCCACGTCGGCAGCTGCGAGTGCCAGAGGAGTGTGTGACCACGCAGAAGCTTTCCGTTCTGGGTCGCCCAGTTGACGACATTATCAGCGTTGGTAAATGTGAATCTTCCACGCGATGCTACGTACGAAGTCAAGTTAGTTTACGATCATGGATCCAGAGTGAAAGAACAAGTCTGGTACTCACGTTCAGTAGCATCCCACTTCAAGCTGTTCTCATGCGTGATCTGCCCAAAGCTATTCTTGGCAATCGTCATAAGGGGGGCGTTGTTCAGGTGGTAGTGGTCAATTTCAGTGCCAAAGTAGACCTTTCCCTTGGCCTTGAACTTTGCGTGCAATTCACCTGCAGCTCCTGAGCCTCCACTGCCGCCGCCACCGCCGCCACCTCCACCATTGCCTCCAGTAGGAGCAGGTTCGCTATTGGCAGTAGTAGTAGGAGCGGGAGACCCACCACCTGTACCAGGAACGCACTGGGAATAGTAATCACTGCAAGTAATGGTTAGCGAAATATTCATAGAAGAATCTCTGCGAATCATCAGAAAGAGCTCTTACTTGACCTTGTTACACACCGTGCCGGAAACGCATGATGTGGAACCGCCCCATCCTATACCACCACCTATTCAAAGCAAGATCAGTAAACTGTTACAATTCAGAAGCCGTTTTGAGGAACGACCTACATTGGCCGTATAGGGGAGATTGGCCGAGAACGACAGCGGGGGCGACGACGAGTGCGAGAGTAGAGGCGCGCATGATGGTAGCTTCCTGGTACTCGGGAAGATCGATGGTCGAGAGCTAATAAGCAATAGATTCACGACTTTATAAATGGATTTGCTTTCCTCTTATTCTCTGGTCACAAAGATGACAGCCAAGACTTAGTCAAAGTGTTACAATCAAAACCCGCTTGAATAAAAAGCCAAGAGGGCGGAAGCGGAGATCGACATATTGGGAAAGATGGAATCCCACGAGTAATGAGGCGGGGTACATGCTTCCTATACTACGCCAAGGCTCCGTCCTTCCGGAGTCCACTGTTTTCATCAATAGCGAGATGGCACATGGGCAGAGTGGAGTGGAAACACCCGACCTTGAGTCCCCAACCCTAGGGCCGGACTTAGGTCTTCAACTCGAGTGTGTATCCGTATTCCGAGTGGGTGAGCAAATGTTGCAACACAATTCCTGGTCGAGTCCACGAATGGCATGTCTACAATAACAAGGGTCCATATATATCTTCATTTGCAGCGACTCGAAGTTGATGAGGAGAGCTATATTAACTGACCAATAACGTTGCCCAAACATCACAAATGTGCGCTGTGCTAATATGGTTGCACGGAGCCAATTGCCGCATAGGTTGTCGCTCTGCTTGGCAAACGATTTGCTGACCGTAATACCTTTGACTAGTAAATAGACTGATCATACTAGAGGTACTTAAGTTAGGTTAAGAGCAACAGTCAAAGGGGAAATCCGACACCTAACGGGATCGAGATCGAGGCCGAGGTTAAAAGCAACAGGTTGATAAGGCGAGGCGCTATGCCCGATACGACTGGTGACATTGCAAGGACCACTTGGTATACATAGTTGCCGGCAGTTCCGGCAGTTCCGGCAGTTCGCATCGTAATTGCATTACTACTCAGTTCAGATGACAGCTAACTACGTTCTTTGGTTATTTTTTTGAAGGTTGCCAGTACCGAAATGTTGCAGGTACATACGTATTGAGCTAGTATTTAGCACAAGGGTGTGCCTCGATGGTACGAGATGGCTGGATCAAAATTACAACGCACGAAACTGGTGTTTATGAGTTGTTTATAGTTTCCAGAAAATACAAGGATATTTAACCATAATTTCCAACCGCTATTAAATGCATGGGGTCTGTGATATGGTTTTTCGCATGGGTTATGGGGATATTGCCACAGGAGATTCTACAAACTAAGGGCAAGAACTCGCTGCACGAGTCAATAGATCTAAATTCATGATTGATTTTTCGAACATAAGAACGGACCATCTGTGCTTTTTCAACAGTAGAATAAGTACAACACAGCTTTCGTGTGGAAAGATTCTGAGCAGGTGGTAGGGCACCCCCACCGCCCAGCTTTAGGGCAAAGCTTTTCCACCCTAAGCAGCAGACTACGGCACAATACCAAGACCAAGATACTCATAAGAACAGACAGGTGATTAGAAGAGTAGTAGTACGATAATAGATCGGCTGGCGCTGATGAGCAACTAGGCTAAGTACAGAATATCCACCAAAGCGCTACTATGCATAATCAGTGGATCATGCGCCACTGCGATAACACAGCAGAAGTTTTACTCTCAAAGAATAGGCGAAGTCAGGCAATATTGCAACTCCGTAAGCGCTGCGCTTCGCCCATCCGTATGCCCTAAGAGAGGGCTTCAGATAGGACATTAGACCTGAATAAATAAACAAACAGCAGAAGTTATTTCGAACTCCATCCCAAAAAAAACCGCTTCAAAAGCCATGGCAGGCTAAGCTTCGCATTACTTACACCCCACGGGAAATATAGCAGTCAAGAACAAAAATTAAGTTTTTTCGTGCCTCGTCCTGCTAAGTAATCCTCGATATCCTCGACCGTTCATAACCCAAGATTCTCCACAAGAACACATGACGAAAGAACTACATTTATCCCAACAACTCAGGCATGTCCGGATACATTCCTTCATAACAGTCCGATGGCTTAGGTACGTCATCCCCCAACCCCAACCGCGCGTCTCCCAAGACACAGTAGAAAACTTCGTGAAGAAGCGTCGAACAATATCATCTCACATCTCATCAAGATGGTCATGATTTAGAGAAAACCAAATAGTCCTGCTGCCAAGGATTGTACAAGGAGCTACCTACCTATGATACCCTTCCAATCACCGCATTTCGAGCCTTTGGGTAAGAAAATGTATTGCGCTCTGCAATCGGAGTGGGAGAACCTTTTGCGATCACTCAGGCATACCGCGTATGAAAGAGAAGGCTAAGAAAGCAATGTGTTCGCAACAAATGATGCGATTCCCAGTTTCAGTATAAATGCGTAATACTTTATGCCTCTTGCTTGTACGAAACAGTCGCTGTCAGCGGCATCGTACGCTGCTCAATGTATCGAGCATGGAAGGATGAGATCAAAGTACAAAATATCCATCATGAGTCAACAAGCATCGAGTAGGATCAAAAGTCCATGGTAGTGAAATGCTGACATCATACTATCTGGGGTGCCTTGACGATTATTTTTATTACAAGTTGGAATAAATTTTACCATGTAGTAATTTTTTTTTTTTACCAAAGACGCTCTCAATCAAATTTCCTGTATCATCGCAGCCGTTGTGTAAGCTTTATCGACTTTGCCTTTTCAGGCGCTAACAACTGGCCCGTCCCCAATTCTAAATCCGGTGTACTACCGTCTCCCGGGCCGATGAGTCCAATGTGATCGACACTTGCTTCAAACGTCTTTACAGACTCCTTTCTACTCTGGCATCTTAAGCTGAGCTCGTCCATTTTGGTGAAAGGGCCGGTGTTGTTGTCACCTGTGTCGGGGTGCGACTTCTTACACTCAGTCCATCTGCTGAGATTGAGGGAATTGGTGCCGAGCGTCCTTCGGTTGCTGAGGAGGTCTTTGTGCTTGACGATGCTGACGAGACGGTTGAGAACTGAAAACTCGATTTTGAGCTTGACGCTATACACGGCCGTCTTGTAGGTTGTTTGGATTTGGTAGTGACCTGAGAATTGGACGGCGAGAAGGGTAATGTCGAAGATTAGGACGATGACGTTGATGATGATGAGATGCCTGAGGAGCTTCTTGATGGGCTCCGGAGCCTTGCCGTCATGGCCACCCAGCAGGAGGACCGTCTCGTAGATGTAAATCAGGGATATGATTGTTTCCTGGACGACTATGACGACAAGTTGTATCTTGTCGTAAATCAAGAAGCTGGGGAGGAAGCGAGCGGAATGCTTGGAATTGGCGCCCATGGCTAGGGTGAACAGTGGGACGCCAAGGACGACGCCAGTGAAGATGATCATGTACAAGACCCAGCGAATCCGGGCCTTGTCCCGAACAACCAGATGGAGACGCGAATACAGGACGACTGATTGTCCAATGACCATGCATGCCCAACCGATACCAATGATGGCGCTTGACAACAGGTCTATCTTGGTGACTTGGAAGAACTTGAGGACGAAGCCAATAGCGTGAGGAGCGATGCCGAAGGTTGCAATGAAGAAGCTCCAAAAGTACAGTCCTGTGCGTTGCTTGAAGACGGCAAAGATCAGGAACATGGTCTCGATGACATTGTACAAGGAGATGGCAAGAAAGGCAGCCATGGTCATCAGTATGCCTAGACTAGCAGTGACACCACCGACTATGCCTATCTCCTTCTCTTGCGCCATGGTCGAGGCGGCGGGTGCGTGGAGGAGAGGTGGGGAGTGTGCTAATTAGGTACGAATCCGGACGGAACAGATGACGGTGATCTGTGAGGGGAACATGGAGAGCACATGAGGTCAAGGGATTAATCTACAGAAGATATGGTATGAGGGGATTCCGGGGCGTGGGGGATTATACGAGGGATACCAGTGGGCAAAGCTAGCCGATGGCACGTGCCGCCTCGCCACGGCAAACCTTGGGGGGTGGTCGCGAGAGGTGGGAAAGGTGCATGTGTGTGTGTGTGTGTGTGTGTGTGTGTGCAGTGTAGGTAGACCTAGAGTAGATGGACGGGATGGCGAAAGGGAAAGGGGCATGCGGCCGGATCGCCTTCCCCGGTGGCGAGGCTGTGCGATTGGTGCGGGCGGGCTGGCCATGGACGCAACGCCGGCTAGTTGGCCATGTGCTGGGCGTCGCGGATTTGGGCGTCCAACAATGGCGTCTGCGCCCGCGTGCCTTGGAATGTGATTGTGCTGCTCATTTGCGGGCTTCACGGCCTCGCCCGCGCTTTTGCACGTCAAGCCATGACCTGCATGTGCATGCGCCGCGCCATACAATGGCCCCCTCCGACGGCTTGGTCACTGGAACAGGACCAAGTCGCTTACGAAGATCCCGTCCGATCCACGATGCCGTATCTGTGGGACAGTCTCAGCCGTAGCGTAGTACTGACTTCCTGACATGTACGTCTGCATGCCTTGTTGGTTAGCCAAGTTTAGTAGCGCTGAGATTCTACATTCTGCACGACTTAGGACACAAAGCTTATACGGCCTGTTCACCGTTCGCAAACCGGAGCCCACAAGCATCGACCTTGTTTACACCTAGCAGCAGGTGTCTGATCCTGGAGTTCATACACGCATGGCCCGCTTGCGTCACTAGCTGGAGGCCTAGGGACCACGCCAATATAGCCTCTCTTTGTCTGAGCCATACAAGATAAACTTTATAGTTCCTACCAGCACGCTGCCGATCGACGCTGAACTGTGTGACTGCTCTGGAGTATCAACGGGTGGTTCTTGTTGTGCGCATTGTTCTGAACAGTTAATAAACTTTGATCAAGCGAGCGAAGACTGTTCAGCCACACTATATATTTGCCCATACGGTTTGTTCCTCGCCCATATACCCATACGTAGCAGCTTCTCCAGACTATTGCAGCCGAGCATTCGTTATGGTTGCTTGTTCGACTGTATTTGCGATTCAGCTATCCAGCCAAGCCGGCGTGAATCCTACTCAGGTAGGCACACACCAGGTCTTCGCAGTGATATGGCCATGCAGCCATCAGTCTCCAAGTTAACTTGACAAAAATGAGTGATTGGCTCAGATCAAGGGCTCGCTGACCTCAGAATACTAGTCCAACTTGGCCATCACGAATGAATGGCACACAGCAATACCTAGGTCCCGCCCTTTTTGATACCGAGCGCGCTGCTCTGGGCTATGCAAGCCATGATGAAACTGGTGATATTACAACATGCATAGTAGCCAAAAAAGTGTGTGGGTCTGTGTGTGGAGCATTTTCGCATATTTTCCGTATTACCGTATTGACAAGATGGCAGCGTCACATTGCTGGGGAGCCTGCAGCGAGTCAAGCTGTGCCGCAGTAACGCACCTTGCATTTATGTGCCCACGACAACGACATCTAGGCTGCATATCCTCCTCATACCATGTTTCAGCTCAAGGTACTGATATTTCGTGAATAAAAAGAGATTATGCTTGGTAAAGGTGCCAGCATTGCCATCATTGCGCTTGCTGCGCATCACCCTTCATCTCCAATCATTCTGTTAGTGTCCGTGGTAGCCTGTACTACATACGCGTTTACATAACGTTGGCTTGTAACCCGTCAAACAGCGCCCTAGCTACAGCTGGCTCTTCCTGGCACGTCTCAAAGTCGCTTCACTTTGATGTTTCCGAGCCGAATGTCTGTCCCCCAAGGATAGCATTGATGCGTAGGATGTGATATACGCCGCTCGAGTATTATTGTTGAATCGCAGGCTCAGCAGCACCATGTGCAGGGAAGAAAGCTGGGTGGGCAATGTTCGTACTGCGCGTACTGCGCTTGGCCTTGTTCATGATAGGTGGATTGGACTCTAGCATTGGTTGATGGGGATGACGGGAAGGATCACATGCTAGTAAGCTAAGTTCCCCTACCAAGTCATGCCCAGGCGCGTGTGCGTGTGCGCGCCATGAGCGCTCCCGTAAGAGCGCTCCATATCCCTGCCAGGCCCTGCACTCGGTCATCGGGTATCAGATCCGAAAGAATATGCACTCACGCGATTCAGCAATGACTTCAGGGCAACGAGAGTAACTGTGCACGTGTCGCAAAAGGTGGTTTGTAGATTAGGCACACCGGCCCTCTTTCTCTATGCAATGTAGACCACAGGCGTGGCTGACAAGCCCCTTTAAACAGGAAGCGAGAGAGGCCACAGAGCAATACTCCAAGCCCGAGACTTTGGCCCTCCAGTATTGCTATACTGATAAGATGCTCGCTCCACCAACGGGCGGATACCTGTGCTCGTCCCGCCAGCGGGATAAACCCTTGTGGCCAGTGCTGTGCGTTCATTCACAAAGACCTGAAGCACGCTGGAGTCGTACAAGACGTGGAACTTCAAGGTTTCGAGTATCCCCTTTTCGGCAAAGGGGCTGTCTTTGGCCTGCTGCCTAATCATGAATAGCGTGTGTGGCGCTTCCTCTTGACATGTTCGGATCCCATCTAGAGATGTGGAGCAACTCCGGTCAACTACAATCGTCTCCGCATTCGCATCAAAGTAAACCCGGGTAAATTCCGCTGTAAACTTCGTCTTAGTCCGCGCATTTCCTTTTGTCTCGTCCACGTACTTACCAGCTGAATGTACAATATCAAAGCCCAACTTGGCAGCGCCTTCTTCCAATCTAAAGTCGAGTTCCATCTCCCACTGCGGCCAGGCTACAGGAAACACCAAGACACCGCCGGAGCTTTGCCCCGAAGTTTCCTTCGAGGGAAATCTACAACCTCGTAGCTTGCGCAATCGGGGATTGGGAACTGCGCACAGAGTGATAACAGTGAAGCTCGAGCCATTTGTATCTTCAGGCATCAATTCGACGGAGCCGACAGATTGAAGTGGAGACGACAGGGCTCCGGTGACACCCGCCAAGGCCTGCATCTTGAGAACTCGTGGCAAGGAAACTACGCCAGCCCATCCCTGTCGCTGACGGACTTCTGCATTGAGGTCATCTTCGTGAATCCAGCCGTATATGACTTGCTGCTGTGTTTGCGGATCCCAGAACGAGTTGCCAGCATAGTACAGGCCATGGTCCAATCTGCCTCCAAACCGGAACTTCATATGCACACCCGGCGCAGTCTCGAGGCTACCGCAAAGCCACATTTGCGCATTGGTCGCCCGGAAGTCGCCTTTAGTGCGAATCATGTCATCGGTAGCTAACCGACCCTCGACGCCACAAATGAGAAAGTCACGGCATATCTTGCCATCTGCACTCGTCAGGGAAACAAAGTTACTCACCTCCCAGTTCACGCCAAAATCTCCTGTCCAGCGAGGCGAAGGACAAAAGTTCAAGCCAGGGGCGATCAAAGGGCCAAGGTATTGCCATGCATCCAGTGCATTGGCGTCCACTCGGTAGAGAAAGGCTGTAGGTGTCTTGCCTCGAATTCCTCCTGCTACGACAGCATACAAAGATCTCGTGTCTCGGTTCACCCGTTGCTGATTAACGAGTTTGTCCATGCACGGCCAGGGAGCTACGAATGGATCTCGCCAGCCAGTCACGTCAATGCCGGGTGGAGGCTCTGCGAGGACAGGGTTATTCGCATATCTAGTCCATGTCCTGCCAGAGTCGGTTGATGTGGCCAAAGCGACTGCCTCTGATGTTCGGAAATATGGCCGCGTGTAGTGAATCGGGAGACGAGACACTGATGTATACACCGCTGTCAGGACGCCGTTCTCCGACCCATCGATGGCAGTAGGTACAAGGCAGCCAGTGAACACACCGCCCGAATCGCACTGTGCAGAGGGCTGCATAGATGGGTGATCTGAGACTTTCCATGTGAGCAGATCATGGGATACTGCTGCACCCCAGGAAATGTTGCCCCATTCTGTGCTGTTTGGATTCCACTGGAAACCCAGATGATACTTCTTGTTGACTGGGTCGTATCCAGGGGCGCAAGGGTCGTTGAGCCAGCCACGAGGAGCCACGAGATGTAGGCGTGGTCGCCATCGTTCAATCGGTTCAAGTGTCGTTTCGGAGACCAGAGGGGGGGAGAATACACTCACTCTGGGCATCTTTTTGAAGGTGAAAGGAGTGGTGGAAGTTGCAGTTACTAGCATGTGCGAAGTCATTGCGCCAAAGACTTGGAAGGAGAGTAATTGAGGGGTGTAGTCTATCAGATTTCATCCCATTAAGAAGATTATCCTAGGTAGTTACGGCAAAGTCTTTCAAAGCAACCATAACTGCAGCTACGGGTGAGTGCTGTTACAGGACAGGGTAAACATTGCAGTCAGTGGCTAGGCATTCAAAAGACCCGCGGCCTGGTACTAAGAGCCTCGATGTCGGATCATGGGGATTTGCCCAAAAAGTTGTAGCCCTGGTCAAAATGCGGTTCGTAGCGAGATGGAGATTTGACAAGACGGGTTAAGGAGCGGGGCCAGTGCATATGGGGTGGGTAATGTTGCGGGTTCGGCATTTGCGTTGTTAATGGGACCCCGGCAATTACTACCCCGTGGGACGCACAAGCATCACGTGAGCCCATGCCCAACATCACCTGCAGCTCTATGCGTGTCTGACAGAGCATACGACATCACCTGTGCCATACCACGGACCACCACTCAGCAGAGCAACGCGGAGACTTGAGGCGTTGCTAAGGGAAAGACATATGATGTTTTACTTTCTCCTTACGTAGCTACAATGGGTGAGCAGGTCATTTTCGACAGTACTCTCGTCCGAACTGTCCAAACACGCTCATGCGATCAATGTTTTGTGCACAAGAACAAAGTAGGTTTACTGATGACCCATCCCTGAACTATTAACAAGCACTCTAACTATACCTGTTTCGGCAGTGTAGTCGACATGCACCGTGCCATACATGTGTTGCAAATAATAGACCATGTACATACAAGCGCCGATCCCAGTATCGCCGACGCACACAACTCATGTGGGTCTTTTCAGTGCGTTTATACCGTCATAGTTGATATTTTATTATAATGATCTGGTTATCGACACACGATGAGAGGCCTTGAGACTGCTAGATGCAATGCTAACAGAGATCAAGACCAAGTACCAACCCTCCTGCAAATGAAACATCTTCAAGCTCTACAAGGGTCGAGGCATCTAATCTCAAGACACCAAGCCTCAACATCTCCGATGAGAGAGACTTTGAAGATGGGCCAGCAAGTTCATCACCCGAAATGATAGATATTCAAAATATTGGTACTGGAGAGGCGAGCGAGACCCTCGACGACTTTCTCCAACCAATCAGCCAGCATGCCGATATTGACAGCTTCGACTGGGTCAAATTCAGCATGGCCCCTGGCATTACAAGTCCAGTGCGAGGAGACGCTGTCCCACCTGGAGTTATCCCTTCACTACCTACGAACATTATACCAGAGCCATGTGCAAACCCGCCATGGCCTATGGATAATCAGAACTTCGGGTATCCTCTGGAATCAACTCTCCAGATTTCGCGCCCTGTGACTACTGAAAGCATCTTGCACATTATCAATCTCTTCCTTGACCGACTCCACGCATCAATGCCTTTCTTTGAGCGCTCCTACTTAGTCGATAACATCTATGCCCAACGTCCCCTGTACGATCAGTCATTCAACGCACTTGTTCATGCAATCAGTGCCCTGACTGTCTTCCAGATGATGCAGAAAAGTCATAAAGAGACTCGCTCATCAGTTCACATCGAAAAGGCAGAATGGCTACTCGCAGAAGCCGTGCGACTACATTCTCATGCCGACTTTGGCGAAAACCCAGTCTTGGAGCATGTCCTCACTAGTGTATTTTTGTTCGGTTGTCAGTTCTCCAAGGGTAACCATCACGCTACTAGATTCCGGCTTCGAGAAGCAATTACGCTGGCTGAAACAATGGGGTTGGATGATCCGCAGACGTACGAGAATATCTCTAGGGATGAGAAGAATAGGAGGCTAAGGACGTTTCTTTGTTTGACGGTAATTCATCGGTACGTGGCCATGCAAATGTGCCTCCCCTCTATCATCTATCGCTATCACTAATGCATAATGACAGTGTATACGCAATCCAAAGAGACAGCCCCATAAACGACTACCTCCTCACTAGCAGCCGCCTCCACATAGTCCGCACCACCCTAAACCAACTCTCCACCAACTTCGGCCAACCCGACGAAAAAGTCATCGCAGGCCTCGGCTACATGGTCGACCTAATCGACTTCGTCGACTCCACCTTCGTCAAATGCTGGCGCAACCAATGCTGGAACGAAGCAACCCCCACCCACATCTCCGCAAAGACCGTTTCCACATTGCTGCAACGATACACGGAACCAATGTCCACGCGTGAATCGCCCAACGACGCCCAGCGCGCAGATGTCCTGGTTACGAGACATTGGATCTGCCACATACTGTGGGACCTCGGTTCTCGCCACGGATTCCTGCAAGCGGAAAACGCAGTAGTCCAGATGCGACCAGATTACGCATTAACAATCGCACACGACAGTATCGAGACGTGCGAATCCCTCGATATGACATCTCTAGAATGCCATGGAGTCGGACTGGTAAGTATCTCTTCATATACCCCTTGATGTCGATTGTCGAAGCTGAAAACACTTTTTTTAAGGTTGAGAAACTCTATGATATCGTTACAAGTGCAATTACGGCGACACAACCGACGGGGTTTGGCCCTGCGATGCCGCATTTATCGAGTGCTCCGGGAATTCAGGACAGAAATGCTGTATTGGCATGGCCGGTGGGGTCGGTAATCGAGCCTGCTTTGAATCAAGGAGAAGGGAGCACTTGGGATGAGGAGATAGTGTGCCCGAAAATTACTCCATGTTTAGCTGATTTTGTGAATCGGTTTCTTGTTGTCTTTGCGTCGTTTCGGGGCGGGAAACATCCGTACTTGAGGCCCTATATGCGGATGCTATGTGATTTGGATCTTGTTTGAGTAGCGGGTGGGGTTCATTCATCAGAGCTACATATGGACAGTAATGTTCCTGGTCATCAGGTTCTGCCAAGATTTGCGATGAAAGGGATCATCATGGTCATGATTTAAAGGAGAAAGACGAACTTGGAATAACAAAGGCTTTTCCAGTAAGTAGGATTGGCCATCTTGTAACACAATACACATCGAGAAAACGTTCCATGCATTATTGCAATTGTTACTATCTAGAATACATCTTCATAACGTAATCATATCGAGAAAATTCAAGGCGTCGCCTTTGCTAAGGACCGTTCGAGTCAAGTCAGCCCATTTACAATCTCTCTAGCTGAGAAGATACGCCTCACATCTTCTCAATTTGCGTCACTTGCAACCCAGCCTTGTCTTCGTTCATGAAATTTTCAATGTTCACACTGCACACATAATCTAAGCTTTCTGTCAGCAGAGATTTCTTATATTCGCCCTTGCGTGAGGTCCTCACTTTTGAATTGTCGCGCAGAAATGCGCGCCTCAAACATCTCATCCAGCTCGGCCGGGGTACGTCCCTTAGTCTCAGGAAACCAGAAAAAAGTTACAACGATGCATCCCAGCATCCATCCCGCAAATATGAGATACGTCTTGGGTCCAAGATTGGCACTGACGGTATGTTAGCATGTCAACAGCCACTAACAGGCTAAAGCATAGCCAGACAGGGGAACTTACGGAGCATTGGCAATGTACGGAAAGATGTATTGGACAGCAGTCGAGAAGCAGGCCAAAACAAAGAAGGAAAAAGCACTCGTCTTGTTTCGCAAGCGAGCAGTTGGCATCTCTCCCGAAACGACATATGTCAACGGGCCGAAGCCTGCGGCGAAGAAGAATGCAAACATGCAGCAGAAAGCGGCGATGGTTTGGCTAAGACTCTGATTGTGGAGGTAGTCGGTGAATCCCAAAACACCGATAACCAGGTTGATGAAAAACAAGATGACGAATGTAGTCAGCGCTAGTGGACGTCGACCGACCGCATCTACTACGAACAAGCCGGCTATCGCGCCGCCAAAGGCCAGAATCGAAGTTGCTAGGGCAAGAAGAAACGGGCTGATCTTGCTACCGATAGTAGCGAGAAAAATCACAGCGTAGTTGGTCGCGAATACGATGCCAGAAAGTTGTTGCATGTTGGCAATGCTAAGCGCCAGCAACGTGCGGCGAAGATTGACTCCTTGGAAGATGTGCGTCCACGGTACCTCGACATCCTGGGCCCTCAGCGCTGCCTGTGCTTTCAATGCAGCAAACTCTGCTTCGATTTCCTGTTCATTGTATCCTCTCCGCACCATGCGTAAGCTCTTGAGCGCTCGCGAGTCTTCACTGCGAGTCAGGTAGAAAGTTGGAGAATCATCTACGAAGATGAAGCCAATGACCAGAACGATAGGGAAGGCGGTTTGCAAGCCCATAGGAAACCGGTATGCGAATGGGGTCATATCGGTGCTGACAGCCCAGTTGATTCCGTTGGAAAGCACCGCTGCTGCATCAATGGTGACAATGGACAGTCCGATGAGCACTCCGCGCAGCTCGTCTGGTGCGATTTCAGCCAAAAAGGTCGAACCCATTACGATGAAAAGGAAGATGGCTGCATTAGCCAGCCAGCGCCCAATGACCAGCTGTGCCATGCCAAAAGCAGATGTCTGGATCGCTGCGGCTACAGCACTCAAGACACATCCAAAGATGAGGGTTTTGCGTCTTCCCCACCTATCTCCGCAATATGCGGCGAGAGGAAGTCCGAGAAGGCATCCAGTAGTAGGGACAGCGGTCATAACGCTGATGTCGGTAGACGTGAGAACTGGTCCTTTGGGGCTCTTGCCAGTTCCGAATTGGTGAACGAAAGGCGGCATTGCGAGAATTCCACCCATGACGGAGCCATCGAAGCCAAAGGTAAAGAATACTAGCGCGAGTGTGAAGCTGGAGAAGATCAATCGTGGGTTGTGGATGATGTGCGAAGTCCACGATCGACGCTGCACCGCAACATGTGTTACATCAACAGGTGTCCCCATGATGTCTGAGTAGGATGCTTGATGAAGTATTCGAAGTATTTCGTTGGGTGAATATTCAATCCTGGCGAGCAATCACGTCTTTATGTAGTTTGAATGGTGTACATGTACCTACCCCAGGTTTTCCCCAGACCAACTGGCCAAGGGGTCATCGGCACGTGGAATATTGGAAGGGCGGGGGTCGGGACGTCACTGGTATCGAAACTTAGAAAAGGATGCATAATTCCGGGTTGTATGAAAAACTCCTGGTCGAGTGCTGATAAACCGGTTGCGCGTGCGAAGGTTTATTCATTCGACTGCGGGGATTGTCCATTTCAGGCATAGCGCGGCATGGAGTAGTAGTCGACCCGGGGCATGGAGCAGATGTAACTGCCGAAATATGCCCAGATCACGCGACTGTTGCACTGGCGGAACAACATGGAGAAGCTTACCTTCTACTCAAATCGACAATATATGTATCCTCTTAAAAAGCTCATTGCTTGCTGTCGAGCTGGCGTACGTAGTTGATCAATTATGACCAACAGATCACTCTAAACAACAAAAGCCATCATGATCATTGCAAAAGATGATGCTCTTGATTCATTTCCAGGATACAAATTGGAACACAAAGACCTCGGGCAGCTTATCGGACTTGCGAGAGGGGATGATGTAGTTCAATTCCGCGGTGTCCCGTTTGCTACCATTCCGGCGCGGTTTCGCCAGGCGCATCTTCTGGAGTCACTACCACAACAGCCATTTGATGCCAGAAAATCTGGGTAAGCTAGCGGCATGTAAAAATCATATATTTTTAAGTTTGACAGAACGATAGACCGCATTGTCCGCAACCGTTACTGCCCTTCCCCACCTACTGGGAAGGACCATTACCAGAAGATTTCCCACCACTGCCGGACCCCCCACAGGACGAATTCGGCTGTCTCAATCTCAGTATTACCGTTCCTCGATCCTGTCTTGAGGACGAATCGGCCAGAAAACTTCCAGTTTTCTTCTTCATCCATGGCGGAGCGTTTGTGGGTGGAAAACAGTCTACTCAACTTGCTGGGCGCGAAATCTACGATGGGACAAATTTTGTACGCGCAGGTGTGGCTCGCAATCAGCCAGTTGTAGTGGTTACTTGCAATTACCGTTTGGGTCCGCTGGGGTTTCTTGCATCTGAAGAACTTGCGGCTTTCAACAAAGAATACGGCGAGGCAGTCGGCAACTATGGATTACACGATCAGCGACAGGCACTAGAGTGGTGTAATAAATTCATATCCGGCTTTGGCGGTAATGCTGAAAACGTGACCATTCAGGGCACAAGTGCTGGAGGAAGCTCAGCGCATTATTTGAGTATTTTTCCCGCTCGAAAGTTCAAGAGAGCAATTTTGGCGAGTGGGACGCTGACAGGCATCGGTCCCATGCCCATGCCTTACCAACAGGAAAAGTTCGCCGCATATGTGTCTAGGCACTCTAGGGAAAACAATAAACCAGAAGGAAACCCAGTAAGATTATTGCAATCTATACTTGTCGAGGAACTTGTCAATCCTATTTCAGCTGGCATATACCATCCATATATCGATGGCGACTGGATCCCAGGGGCGACTATGCAGAGTATTACCAATCTTTACAAAGATGAAGCTGCGCCAGATCTTATGATAGGCGCTTGCGATTTTGAGGCAGGTCTTCCTCTTTCTGGTAATGTATCGTGCATATTTGGGGACTAACAACACATTGTAGGCCGATCTCACACAATTACTTCTCCTAGACGACATATTATCAATGAAACCCGCATCCGACAACCGGATGCGTGCAACAATTTATGACCTGACATCATCCAACGGCATGATTATCTCTCCAGAAAAATTTCCAGACGCACACTCCAGTGTCACGGGAGCGTACGACCTCACCTCTGCTCTTGAGCATCCATCGTTTGCAATGTATAAGTGGGCAGAGTTGTTGGCCGATGTGGCATTCAGGGTTCCGCCCCTGCATATCGCAGCCCACCACCCTGCCAACGTCCTACTCTATGAGATTCGCTGTAAGAACCCATATGAAAAGTGGGCTTGGTCATTCGGACGTGCCAATCATGCCGTAAATGACGTGTTTCTCTTTGATGTGGCTTCAGACCTTGTGCCTGAGGAACTGCAAGGTCCGCACGCAGGCAACGTAGCGCAGATTCGAGCTGCGTGGCTGGACTTTTGTTACGGAAAGCTGCCATGGTCGCCATATCGAAAGCAGGACCATAGAATAGGACCAGTGCATGTGTTTGAGCATGGTGAAAATGGTAGAGATGCTGAGAGTTTGGAAGAAGCTGTGGGCGAAACTATGGCGGCACAGTGGAGAGCAGTTTTGAAAGCAAACGAGCGATAGTCGAGATTAATCACGTCTGTTGCGCTCAGCAGATGGCTGGGTAGCTCTTCATTTTTCAATCGTAATACATTGCCACCGATATTGATTGACTTCATGTGTTGTTCTGACTTTTTGTAATCACTTGGTTTGCTCGTTTACCTATACCGATGTTTCGGCAATAATCATGGTTGTATGGAAGAAGTGTTGGGCGATGCGACTCTCAAAAGGCAACATATTAGAGCATCCATGTCTGTCGGTTTCTCAAAGGATGCGTCATCGTATGATGTTGTCGGGAGAGAGAAATTGAGGCGACTTAGGGCAAAGGAAATTTTGTACCAAGTGAGTCTTCGCAATCGACATCAGGGAAGGTGATGCGGCTGACGAGAAGAGAAGAAAAGGGCTGGCACGTGGGCATGACGACAAGCGGTGTTAGCTTTTTCTATGCAAATGATAAGATGGCTGGGGTGGAGTGATAGTGGTGGTTGTGGAGAGAAGGACAAAGGAAGAAAGCAGGGCGCCAAGGCCAACGGGACGGGACCATTTTGGAACGAGGCAGCCTCAGCCGTCGCGGCTACGGCGTCGGCCTCTCCCACAGCCCTCGCGTCATGACTGCTTTGGCCGCTATGAGCAGCATCGACTCTCTCCTCAATCACGACGCCCGCTCCGACCGCCGCCCATCGCTCGCCCATTGCGCCGACATGACCACGACAAGCATCACCACAAGCACATCACCATCACAAACCCAAACACCAAACACCATGACGACAACAACCTCGACCGACGATGCCACCGATGCCCTCACCACGCTGGCGACGCTGGGCAATGGGCAGCAGTATCCCCCCGCCCACACAGAGCCCGCTGCCCTGCAGGACCAAGTGCACGACGCGACTCCAACAGCGGCAATGCCTTCACCCCAGCCCTCGATCAAGCATGAGCCCTCGGGCACGCCGCGTGAAAATACGCCGGCAGCAGGCCCAGCGCACCCAGACCGACAGGCCTCTGTTCCGGGCGAGGACGTCGACTCGGATGCCCTCAAGGCGCTCGAGATTGCAAAGCAAAGCGATCTGGGGCTGCGCAGAAGAAATCAGATAGGCGTCGACGGTCTCCAGTCGCCCGTAGAGTCCAAGCCTGCTCCGGCTTCCGCCAAGAAGCGACCAGCTCCCGCCTCCGCCTCTGCAGCGAGGAAAAAGGGCACGGCAAAGACATCAAAGCCAAACAAGAAGCGCAAGGTCGAGACCGACGACGGCGCTACGCGCTCCGTCACGCCCACCGCCCGCGTCCCAAAACCCCCTCCCCGCGGCTTCAAGAGAAGCTCCCATGCCGGCACCCCCCTCGAGTCCTCGCCCGCCCCCGACAATTCGTCACAGGCTCACGGCTCTGACGATGATGGCGAGTCCTCCGAAGACCACAACCTGTATTGTCTCTGCAAGAAGCCGGACAACCACCGATGGATGATTGGCTGTGATGGTGGCTGCGACGATTGGTTCCATGGCGACTGCGTCAACATGAAGCAGGCGGACGAAGAGCTGGTCGACAGATTCATTTGCCCACTATGTGAAGAAAATGGAAGGGGACATACCACATGGAAGCCCATGTGCAGGCGGGACGGGTGCCGGAAACCTGCGCGTCTAACAAAGGGCAAGGAAAGTAAGTACTGCTCTGACGACTGCGGTCTCCTCTTCATGTCGGAACAATTGCAGCGGACAGCCGGTGCAAAAGGTGCAAACGGGGCAAGAGAAAAACAAAAGAAGAAAAAGAAGACAGCAGACGGCGAGCTCATTGATGAAGAAGAGCCGACTCCGCTTGGCGGCACCTTGCGAGCCAAAGACCTCAAGGCCCTCGTCGACGCGTCCCCCAATATCCAGGCCTTTAAGAATCTGGGGACCGGCGTCCTCACCCCTCCACAAACTGCATCCCCCTCGCGTTCGAATTTCCCTGCCAATGGCGAGGATCTTGCCCTGACCGCCGCCGAAACCGACCGATTAGCCGCTCTACACAAAGAAAAAGTACAGCTAAAGGACAGACTCGAAGTACTCAAGGACCGAGAAAAATTTGTCAGCATGGCAAAAGAGCAAGCGGTTCGCCTCGCCGATCGCGAAAAGATCAAGATCAAGGACTTTTGCGGCTACGACTCACGACTAAGCTGGTCCGACGCAGAGTTCCTCCTCTGGCGCAACAGCAAGCACGGCCGTGCAGTCTTCCAATACTCGACCCTCTCCCCCACCGACGAGCAAGTATCTTCAATACCAGACGCAAACGGCGTCGACACAATGGATATCGAAATCAAAGAAACGGCATGTCTTAAGAAGCGCTGCCAAAAGCATCCCCAATGGCAAAAGCTCAATCTCCAAGATGCGCGGTTTGAAGAGCTGGAAGTCGTGGAGGCAATCAAGGAGTGCGAAAAAGACGAGCAATCAGTGCGTGAGCGTGCGCGACGGAGGGGCGCAAAAGATGGCTTGGCGAAGGAGTTGGCGGGCGGTGACATGTCCAAGGTAGCTCGGAATCGAGACGGTTGGGTCGAGACGGTTAAGACGTGACCTGGTTTGAGCGTTGGTGTGGGGGGGGAGGTTTTATGTGTGGGGTTTTGCATAAAAGTAATTTAAAAAGCGAATGTGTAGACATGGGAAATATTGATATCCTGGCTTTGGCCGTTTGAATAAGAATAAAATCATACAATTGTTCTTCTCTTGTTATTTGCGGGAATAGGTGTACAAGTCAGTATGACCATGTCGATTAGGACACTTCTGTAATTATTTCTAGTTGTTCCAAGTAACAGACGTTGACTCCTACCAGACCATCTGATAACGGGAAGAAGAAGAAGAAGAAGAAGAAGAAAAGTAAAATAGACATGTACATTACAACTGCAAGTATACAATAGCAAGGAGAAGAGGGGGGGGTATCTCGATAACTACAAAAGGAAAAACCAGTAAAGATGGAAACAAACTTCAATCACCACATGCTGTCTGTTGTGTGTTGGCAACCAACACCCCTTAGACAACATGCACCGTCCTTGCCCCATCCTCCACTGCCACACCATCTACCTTCTGTCTCGCACTCATCCCCTCATTCATCTCGCTTCCCACTTTTGTACTCTCCGATTTCCCATCATCGTCAGGTAGACCGTAACTATTCCTCCCTTGACGACCTTCACCACCACGCTGCACAAGAGGAACATCCAACATCTCTCTGTCCCCATGCTGATTCCGTTCCACCGTCGTCGTGGGTGCAGTATTCATTCTATTCATGCTGACTCGCGCCTTGTCCTCCATGCTCTTCTTTGCTGCACTTTGGTGGCCCTCTGTCGTGTCCAGCTCATTAGGATGCACTCGTCCCGGCTTATCGTTGGGCGCGCGCGTATTAGCTCGTCCCTTGGACATCGATCGACGTGTATCCCTTCTCGATACTTCGGTGCTCTTGCGACCGACCCGCTGCCCATCTTTTTCGTCGCCCCGCCCTGTAAGTGAACCGACAAGGCCGTTCTTGTGCCGCTTCTTGTCTTCCGCGATGATCTTTTGCAGTGCGTTCCAACGGACACTGACCTTTTCTTCAATGCTTTCCTTCTTCTCAGCGCTTCCCGTGCTTGCTTGTTGAGCTACATTGCGTGATGTTGAAGTCAGCATCAACTTTTCCTGCTGTCCTTCGGCAATGCGTGCGCGACGGAGGTAGCTGGTCGGCTGATAGCGTTTCATGTATTCGGCGTCTACTCCCTTCATCATGTATGCCATCGGTCCGAGTAAGGCTGCAATATCTTTGAGAACAAAGCCGCCAACTCCAAAGCCCACACCTCGTAAGGCACCCATCACTCCATTCTTTTTCGCCCCATGGTATGGCTGCATGACAAGACCCGAGACGCCATCCCTTACACCGTATAGAAATTCATCACGACCAGCGCGTGTTCCAGAATGAAACCCAGTGACCCGAGGCGGACGGCGGACCGTCTCATCACCGTATAAGCGCGGTGCATTGTGGAAACCTTGAGTGATGGCAAGTGTCACTTCCATAGGGAAGCGAGCAATGGCATGTCCAGTCTTTCGGAAGCCAAAAGCAGCCTCGCGTCCAAGTTCATCAGCCAAGTCCTCGCTAGGCTCGGAAATCTTCGAAAGGGTTGTCTCATTGCGGGTAGGCTGCGGTCTGCTACCGTTTTGTTGATTTTTCACATCATGCTCGACTTCCTCAGAGGATCCAGCATCTATCTCCGATCGTGCAGCCTTCTTGTGGTTGTTGCCTTTTTGTAGCCTACGCTTCTTTTCCTTGATCTTCTCTCTCTTTCTAATGCTCTTGCCAATTTCAACAGGCATACCGCCGACACCGGCAGCAGCATCCGAGAAAGAACTCATGAGACTACCCCAGACTCCAGTGATGGGCTCGCCAGGTCCACCAAAGTCGTTCCATTCGTAATGACGGACAAGGCGTAACTCGCTCCATTTGAGCTTCTTCTTCTCAACCAGTATTTCAGCGGCCAATGCAGACAGCTTGACGTGCGTGTTTTTGATCTTCCAGACAGCAGCACGGTTATCGAGGAAGTCGCATCGCATACTTCCCTCCCCTGAAAGTGGCAATGACCGATGGAATGAGCGCACAGCGTTGAGCGCACCGTCACCCTCTTTGGCAATGCTGTCAGCGATCTTCTTGACATTTTCCTTGGCTTCTTCTGTGAGACACTGCTTGATACCCTCGGCCAAACGCTCGGGTGTGAGTTTCTTGTAGGGTATGCATTCGTGCGCCCCTGCCTTTGCTTTGCTGACCATTGCACCCCAAAAAGGCTGGTCACCAAAGAATGGAACAATCATCGTCGGTATCCCGCACTTGAGGCCAATGGCTGTAGTTCCCGCTCCACCGTGATGTACGACAGCACTACAGCGAGGGAAGAGCCAATCGTGAGGAGTATTTTCAAGCATAAAGACGTTGTCTGGGCAGTCAGCGTTCGAACCGAAGCCACCCCAGCCCTTGGACACCAGAGCACGACAGCCGACTTGCTTGACGGCCTCGAAAATCAGCTCAGTGAATGCATCTGGATCGTCAACGACAATCGAGCCGAAACCAATGTATACAGGGGGAGGTCCATCGTCTAGAAACTTTTGCAGCTCGGCTGGCGGCTTGAATGAAGACGCAAGGTCAAGGAAAACAAACCCAGAAATGTCAATTTCTGGACCCCAATCCTTCGGCTTCGGTATAAGGCTTGGAGACCACATGTACGTGTATGGGACCTTGAGTCGATACAGTTGGCCGGGCGCCCATATTTTACTGACTTCCTCGAGATGCAGGATTTGAGTACGGAAACGATTGATAAGGTCGCCTAGACCCTGCCACATCATCATCTCGACTAGCGGGTAAGAAATGAAGTTGCTATACGTCGCTTCGACATTACTGGATTTGATGTTTGCGAGCGGATGAGGGAATTGGCTCGTGGGTGTGTATGGAAAGCTTATGCACGTCAATGACAATCTTTCTGCATAGGTTCTGATACGTACGTGAACATCATGTGGAGTGGAATACCCAGCTTCTCAGCAATGTGCTGTGGTGCAATGCTAGGAGGGTTGGCGATAATGGCATCGGCAACAAAAGGAGCTCTATCACCCACTGAAGGAGGTTAGCTCAAGAAAGACTAAAGACCCCTGTCGTTACTTCACGAGACACAATTGTTCATTGGTCCCATTTCCTCGCGAGGGATTCGCAAGTGAAATAGACATGACTTACTCATCTTTACATTGGTCGTGTCAGTCTCATCATCTGTCGCATTGATACATGCACGCCACATGCCCTGGAACATTTCGTACATCTGCGCTCTCCTGCGGCCAATCTCTCCCTCCTTTATCGTTTCGATATTGGGTATAAGACCTGGATTCTTGACCATGAAAGCCATCAACTCTGCTGGGTTGCCACCAACCGAGAAGAACTCCAAGCCCGAGTCTTTTTCAACAAAGTCCCTGAATGCTGGATGTGTGGCCAGACGCACCCGATGCCCATAGTCCTCTTTGAGAATCTTGCCTATCCGAATGAAAGGCTGAATGTCTCCGCGTGACCCGATAATGATGATAACTATGTTAAGCTTCACTCGCCTTGCAGGATCGTGCTCCATCTCGTCATCTTCCGGAGCAACCTTGGTGGCGTCTATGTCGTTGTAGAATTCCGGCCCGCGGTCCTCATCGTTGCCGTGTTTCTTTACGATGGTCCCCAGAGCCTTTGCAATGTATCCGCTACTCAAGTTCTTTTCGAGAATGCTCAGTTTCAGCCGTCCGTCTGCTCGTGAAACCCTGGCCTTTGTATTGAAGTGTTCGTTGGCGATTCGGAGTCGAGAGAAGGGACGTGATTTACGAGTTGTCTGAGTAGTAAGCTCGTCGGCATGGCCAAGACTTTTATTGTGTGAGTAGACATCCTCATCAGAGGAGGAGTCTGAAGAATCAGTGTCAGCGTCAAAGGTTATGGTCGCGTGCCGTTCTGGTTGCATTGGCCTCTTCTGTTGTGGCTGTTGTTCCTTTGCGAACAGCGAGTGCTTTACAGAGGGCTTGGGTCGCTCGGTCGCCCATCTTTGCTGTTGTGCTGGACGCGACTTTTGGGTAAAGTAGTCTTGGTTGCTCGGTGTGGTTTCCAAGGGTGCGCGCGTCCCGTTTCCGTAGTCTTTTCGCGAGACGCTCTCCTGTTGTACCATTTCTGCAGCCGGGGTATCTTCAACGGGCGATGTCGCATGGGATGTCGTCTTGGGTTCATGGCCAGGGATATTCGGGAAAGACGGCTCTTCAATGACCATGCCCACAGGCGCGATACCGCCTTTGTCTTGAGGCGAAGACATAGTTTCTGCCGTGTTCCCGGTAGGCATACAAATGGGGTCAATGGCTCGGTGGGTCGCGCAGTTTGGAAATCAACAACACGTACAGACTCGAGCAGTGACGGAGTGATGATGGTAGCGACAGGACAGCAAAGAGCAAAAGGTTCAAGCTAGATTGGCTAGCCGCTCCACTTGTCTGCAGGCGATGACAATTGCTCTAGTGATAGCAATGCTCGTCCCAATGCAGTCAACCAACGTGTGCAAAGGGGGGCCACAAGTGCAGATGGTGTCGAATCATGGTGGCAGGAGAATAGATGGGCAGGGCTAGGCCAGCAGGAACCGCAGGCGGCATGACATCACACGCGCATATGGGTGAGCCGGCAAGCGGCCCCGTGGAAACTAACAGCTTGTGGTTTGATTGGTTAGAATGTGACCTTGTGCCTGGGCGTTTTTAGCCGAGAGACGAGTCTGAGGCTGGAACTCACAGGTGCAGGAGCTGATTTGGGGCCAGAGTATATACACAAATATATCATGCGCTGTTAAATTGGAGTGAATCGCATAGTGCCGTTGGAATACCCAGCTGGTAGCATCCTGGCCTAGCTGCATATCTTAGTTCGCAGATGCATCGACGGCGATCTGGTAGCGCACTAGTCACGTTCCAGAAGACATCTTAGCGGCACCCAGGCTATCCAACATACTCTAGACAGTCTTGACAGCCACAGCAACTAAATTGGAAAGGAAGCGACTTCGACACTTGTCCAAAGACATTGCTCCCTCGTTCTTTGTACTGTATATACCATACATGCCAAAACCTAGCCACGTGATCTTAGCAAATTGGGCAAAAAATAGAAAGTGAAAGTTGCAATATAGAACCAAAAACATACGACAGCGGGGATTCGCTAGTGGTCACCCACCTAACTACTAATCCGCCGGTACAAAGCTTGTATAGGGCAGATCGAACGGGATGCCTAATTCTATTTGTCCTATGGTCGTATGTACCATAACAGTGAAAATGAATCTGATACACGGGCGAAAATTTCGTTTTTGCTGACTTGGTCTGAGATCCAAGGAGGCTCACGTGGTGTTATCGATAACTCAAATCTACCAGCTGAGTAACATGTATGAATAGCTTCGTATGTAATGCTAAATATTCAAGGGTGTTAGCAGAGATTTAGTGTCTCGCAATTATATATAAGAGTGGTAGTTGTATTATGATCCCCTAGTCGGTGCGATGGAGCCTATCCTTGGCTAATCATGATCCACCCAAGCACCTAATGATAATACCATAAAGAGCTATTGAAGCTAAGCCACATACCACACGAGCCCTTCATTGTGCATTCGCTTTTGGTACCATCTCAACAACAATCAGCGTCCGATGCCTAGGGTGTACAGCGTCGCCTTGACAATGTCTTGTGCCCATCCAAACCAACCCCTGCCCGCCTGAATCGAGTTTAGAATCTTGACAAAGTTGCGGTTCCACTGGTCCTGGTCCTCCCACTCGTCCGCATACGGCTCGAACAGGGCCGTCTCAATACTGTTAGGGTCATCGGGCATGGTCAAGTCCCATTCGCCTGTCGGGTTCTGACGAACATGTACCTTTGGCCCTACGCAGAGTGCACGTCCCAGGATGCGCGAGTCGGCTACAAAGCGCGTGCCAGCATCAACCACATCCTCAACTTTGCCCAGAGCGCCGCCTGCAAGGATGAAGCGTGCTCCCGCTGTCACAATGGGCGTGTCGATGAAGTAAGGACAAAGCAGATTGATGCGTATGCCCTGCACGCCGCTGCTAGCGCGGAGGGTCCTGAACAAGCCGAGCACAGCATGCTTGGCTGCACAGTACTGTGGCTGAATGGCAATGGGACAGAGAGATGCCACCGAGCCAAGTAGAAGCAGGTGACGGTCGCGGGGCGAAGTTGTCGAAGGCTTCGCGTTGATGCTACAGGGCGAAGAGCCCGGATTCCTGGGCAGCCAGAAGTAGGCCAGGTGCGTCGTATAGAGCACGCCGGTGAGGTTGACGTCGATAATGTTGAATTTGGGTGGGGGTGGTTGAGCAGCGTCCAGGCCAGAGCCTTCCTGGAGTATGTCGCGGCCGGCAATGCCTGCGTTGGCAACCACACAGTCGATGCCGCCGTGGGGGCTCAGTCTGACCGCCTCCTTGAATAGATTGACTTGAGACTGCCAGTCGGTTACGTCGCAATGCACAAAGTGTGCTTTTGCATTGCCACTGGCCTGGGCATTGATGCGGCGACACAAGCCATCGCCTTTGGACACATTGATGTCGCCCACAATGACCGTCGCACCGCTAGCCACCCACTTCTCAACGAAGCCTGCTCCGAATCCACTCGCTCCGCCCGTGATGAGGATGACCTTGTCCGTAGCCCAGGTAGCATCGTACGACGCCGTGATATCAAGCGGCGGCGACTGGAGGATGTTTGTTTTCTGGGGCTTGTACTCGTCCATTGTGGTCGCGGGTTTGTGTGCAGTGTCTTGTGGGGAGGGGGAGGCCTTGGGACTATTAGTACTACCAATACGTACGTCGGCAGTAAACAGCTGCTGCACTAGCAACATGTCGTGCATGCCTTGGCTAATTTCAGCCGCAGACAAGAACTAGACAGATGCACATGCTTGTAAAAGTCGTGCTCTCTCCATGATTCTTACAAAAGGTACACAGCCATTGGACAATGCCTAGTGCACGGCTGAACCTCTCAAAGACTCGCTATAGTGCTGACAGTATATCAGCATATGCCCCCACTGCAGATTATGGTAATATTCCAATTTTGCATTCGGCCAGCCCACTAGTACTATCCAATAGAAGCCTTGATAGTAATACAGACACCTACTTTTCGATTACTCGTCAACATTCCTTGTGCACACGTCAGCGCTACTCTTCTTACCAGCTCTGTTCTATATACAAACTCCATGTGTCATCACAATCCGCCTTTGTAAACACTCTCTGCGCTTCCCAAAACCAATACGCATTCTCTCTATCATATCATATCGAAATTGGAATGCATCTCTCTAAACTTGCAGCACTCTTGGCTAAGCATAAGCGAGATGGACCATACCGAAGTATTTGGCTCGGTAAATCATACTGACTGTTATGTGGATACAGACGTCATAATTGAAGGCGACAGTTTCCTTGGGCTGTAATGTTTCCACTGTCTTGTCGCAGATAATAGTAGTACGGATGCTTTTGATCTTGATTGGTGCCGCGTACAGCTTACGGCATCTTGGGCGTATTGCAAGATTGCAAGTATAGAGAATAATAATACCACACACATGAGTCCGCAGTGAAATTACATCGTATGCACCCCTACCCAAGTGCTTGTCGATGGAGTGCTATGGCGGTGCTCGTCTGGCAGCGCCGTTATTGTACCTGAATTCCAGGCCGCAACCCCTGCGAAAATCTCGTCACCCCTCCCCCCACCATGCCCCCGAACAACATTCACTACGCCCCTCAATCGCCCACAATGTCCACCCCCAATGTCTTGCCAACCCGCCTCGTCGCAACTCTCTTTCATAAAACCGGGCCCATCGACTGTCTAACCGACTTTGAGGTTGTGCTCACGACAATCGTCCCAGGCTTGCAGCGCGACTCCATCACCACCAAGAGACTGGAAGCAACCAGGCAATGTCGCGTAGCCGAGCTGACTTTTCCACTCCTCGGCCCTGAGGTCATCACACTCGACAGCCTGCGGAGGCACGAGGCCGTCGCACAATTCGAGCGCCAATGGAGTGTCGAGTGTGTCTTTCAAGCAGACACAATCTACCGGCGCTACAAACGACTTGCCGTCTTTGACATGGACAGCACCTTGATTCAGCAAGAAGTCATTGACGAAATCGCCTCACTGATTGGTGTTGAGAAAGAAGTCTCCGCCATCACGGCTGCAGCCATGAACGGCGAGCTAGACTTTGAGGCCAGTCTGCGCGCGCGGTGCAAGTTGCTGAAAGGTGTGCCAAGCACCGTCTTCGAAACCCTAAAGTCAAGGATAACGCTCAACGAAGGCGTCAAGGAGCTCATCACTGCACTCAAAAGACTGGGGTTCAAAACTGCCGTTTTGAGCGGAGGCTTCACGCCCTTGACCGGCTGGATGGGCGAGCAGCTCGGCCTAGACTATGCCTTTGCTAACCATCTTGTTGTCGCCGACGATGGAGCTACCCTCACGGGCGAATTGACAGGCGAGATTGTGCATGCACAAAAGAAACGACAACATGTGCTTGAAATTGCCGACAAAGAGAACATACTTTTGGAGCAAGTAGTATGCATCGGTGATGGCGCCAACGATCTTCCCATGATGGGCGTAGCTGGTCTTGGCGTTGCCTTTCATGCAAAGCCAAAGGTGCAGGTGCAGGCTCCTGCCCGCTTGAACTCGAAGAGCATGCTGGACGTTCTATATCTCTTCGGTGTATCCAAAGAAGAGCAAGAAGTCTTGCTACAACAATAATCGCCAAAATATAGATCTCGTTAGTCACGCTACCTGTAACTTCCACACTCGCGTGTTTTTCTGCATAAGGTTTATATCAACTATAGGCCCTGGATTGCACTGTCTGCAATTATCACTATGCCAATGGCCATTGTTGAAGAGTAACAATTTATCTGTATACTGATAATCAGCTCATTTAAGACTCGAATAGTATACATAACGTTTATCAACAGAGCGCCTTGTATAAATGGTTCTTGTCCATGGTCGACTGTTCAACTCTCAATACACAAAACATTATCATCCAATGGAACACCGATAGTTGTCCTCAAGTTCCAGATTATTTTCCAACACCATTGACTGTTCACAAAAAATACCAGTTCATGACAATAGACATCACTCATGGAAAGTAGCATGTGGAGCAAGAATCAGAAAACTAAATGATTTATATGACAAGAAAGTATGGAGCCTCGAGTATATACAGGGGAAAACTAGCAGTCAAAGTAGCCCAGTCCCCAGGAAAGCCCTTGAGAAAGATTGTACAGTAGCCCGGAAGCCAAAGAAGGGGGGGTTGTGGTAGGCAAGTCGCCCATCCACCATCATCGTTCACGCATCACCGTTGAACCTTTTTTATCATACCAGAGCGCGAGACGCTTACTGGCATTGGGAGTAGTAGGGGTTCATGGTCTTGCAAGAGCCCTTGGCGCAGCACTTGGCGCCATTGAAGCCAGCGCCACCGCACTGGGCCCACTGAGCAGCGCAGCCAGCAGCGGGAGCAGGAGTGGCAGCAGGAGCGGGCTTGGTGGCGAGAGTGGTGGCAGCAGGAGCAGCAGGGGCGTTGTTGGCAGGGGCGGCAGGGGAAGAACCAGCGCTGGCGGTTCCAGCACCTCCCTTCCAGACGGTAGGACCGGGCATGGGGAAAGCCTTGCGGCCGTTGTAGATGCTGAAGTTGGCGTATGGGTCAGAGGCCTTGTAGGCACCGGGGAACTGTAGCGGTCGTTAGTAAGTAAAGAAGGAGTACGGTTTGTGTGAAGAGAAAACTTACCTTGACAGTGGGACCGGGGGTACCGCTGCCGCCACCCTCAACCTTGATCTGCATGCAAGAGACGTAGTGCTCGGGCTGGTTGACGTGGGAGCGGTGAACACCAATGTGCTCGAAGCGGGCGAGGTACTCTCCGTTGGGAGTGTCCTTGGGGATCCTGGCCGAAATGTAATCCCTGTTGTAATCGCACCAGGCGGTAGAGGTGAAATCGCCGCCATCGCAGACACCCTGCTCGTGGATCTTGAACCAGGCGCCGTCCTTTCCGTCAAAGGTCTTGACACTGCTGGGGGCCTTGGCCATGTAGACAAATTCGGGACCGGGGTGCTGGAACTTGGCGCCGACAGCGAGCTTGAGGCGGATCTCGTCACCAGCCTTGACGGTCAGGACATCGGTCTTGCCGGCAGAGGAGAAAGCACCCTGGTTGCAGACGATATCGGGACCATCGATATGGGAGTTGTCGCGGATGTCGGCCGCGGGGTTGGAGGAGAACTTGATGGGGTTGTACTTGGTAGCACGAGTCGACTGGCGAACGTACTTGAAGGCAGGCGTCTCGACTCCACCGACAATGGCCTTGTCCATGAAGTAGTGAGCGGAAGCCACTTGGGCGACGGCGGCGATAAGAGCAGCGGAGAACTTCATTCTGAACTAGCAGTAACGAATGTTTTAGATGGTTGGTTGAAAAGAAGGTGATTTGCGAAAGGCAAAGAATCGAAAAGAAGGACTGAAAAGAATGTAAAAGACTGCTGGTTGATGAACTCAGAGGCTGATGAGGATATGATGGAGGAGACATCTCTGTATATTATATACACAGCTCCAGCTGCCTTATCCTCCCGTGCCTCTCCACCCGTGGCCATACCACCGGTCGTCTCGACTCAGGCAAGTTGTTTGGACGGACATTCATTTGCCCGATCAAACAATGCACAATTGTGGTTCTGAAGCGTTCCTTTGCAGCTTGTCCGCCGTACCAAGCCTCTTGGTAGTGGTCCTCTTCATTAGCGAATATCGTATCCTAGGCTATAAGAAGGGTAGTGGCGCTTGTGCAGCCTGGTGGCACACATGGGAAGGATGAAACACGGCGGGTCCAGCCAATCACGCCAAAGTCGTAAACGACCTAGACTTGGCCTGCTGGGGCCAGCAATAAACACCAAGTTTCAGCATCACGCTGTCAAAACACGGATTCCTGGGAGCTCAGGCTCGACGCGGATTAGCTCGCAGTGGGGTCGTGATCCGTCGAAATTTCCGCTCTTCATGCAGCTCGCTTTCCGCTGGCATTCTTCGATGCTTCGATAGAAATAATGGCAAATGACGGTAGCGAGATACAGGGGGGAACGCTGCCGCTCCACGGAAGCGCGGCACTTGGCGATTTGACGTCCATGTAAACTCATAGCATGACATGAGCGGGCCGTCGTGCTAGTTCGTCCTCTGCTTACTCGGTTCATCCACATTCTTGGCAACGCGGGCACGTTGCGGGTCATGACAGACGATAAAGCAATATACACAGCTTGGTCAAAACACTATAGAAGGTCACTCTGCAACTACTAGTTTTTTCACAAACCACATATTTACTATCTCTCGGGCTTGTTGTGAGACCAATTCGGGCTTATCACTTCTGGGCAAAAGCGAGTCACAAGACTGTGTAGCCTTGCAAACCTGTTTGAAAGAAACAAAAATGCAAAAAACAAAGAGGATGAAAATTCGATGCCGTGCAAGAGACGGGCCATGAATCGTGTGTGTGGAAACCCAGCGTTTCGTTCCCCGTTCCAAACGCCACCTGCACCCTGCCAGGGGCGAGACGCGGAGTGGGCGACTTTCGAGCAAAGCTTCACCTTGGCACCCGCACGTCACAGAAACGACTGCGTGCAGCTAGCTTGTCGTGTATTAATAACTTGGCCCAAATCGCGCAAGTCTTTCACAAAGAGCTATCGTTCTGGAATATCGAATGATCTTGGCCTAATATGAGCGAGAGAGTAGCACACCGTGGAAACTCCGAAAACTGCCAGGCATCATCGATGCCATGGCAGATACGACGAGGCTCCGTGGTACGCTGTCGATAGGAGAGAGAAACGTGAAGCGAGCTCTCACGCCACTATGTGATGATTGGATAGCGCGCGCTACGAGACGGCATGAATATGCGTTTTGGCAGGATGGGGGGAAATCCTGCGGCGCGAACCGACATGACGCGCTGTCATCACCAAGATAGATAGGGATGCCTCGGAATCAGCATGAAAAAGCCAAGGTCACAGTATGTTTCACCGCTTCCTACGAATATAATTGAGACAAAGTGTCTTTTTTTCTTTCACAAAGATACAAAATACCATGGAATGCCAGTTGGTATGACGACAAATTCATTTGCCCTTTCTTTCCTCCCGTGTGTTCCGGGTCCCACCTATTTCTCTCTCGATGTGAACTTTACATACGGTGGAATCTTGGGGGCTTGGACTTGTTTTCTATTGAAGTCGTCGTCAGGCACCTTGAACAGACGGTTGCCGTTCTTGTCAACAAGCTGAAAGTCGAACGAAGCGACAAAGTACGCTGTGACCATTGTTATTTCTAGAGTGGCGAAGCGCATGCCGACTACGAAACAGATTAGTTCAGGAGATCAATACATATGGAGTCGGTGTACTTGCGGCATGGATGCATTCCGGATCCCCAGCCCACGTAGCCATGCGGCCTCTTTGTGTCCTCGGCACGCTCTGGCATATACCTTGATGGATCCCATTCGTATGGGTTGGTGTAGACTTCGGGATTGAGGTGGATGTCGTACGAAGGATATGCGACGACGGCGCCGCCAGGGATGACCTCCTTGCCGTTACCAAGCGGGATGTCATCACTGGTCATGTTCTTCCGGAAGTAGACAGTGATTATATGCAGGCGAATCAAGTCACGCAAGCACGCATTAATGAGAGGAAACTCTGATTCCCATGCTTCTATCGGAATGTCATCGAGCTGTTGGCGTAGAGGAGCAGTGGTATCCCGGGCGTACTTGGCTGCTACCTTGCGTACTTCTTGCCGTACCTTGTCCTGCCACTCTGGGGCAGCTGCCAAGTAGGAAATGAGCCATCCAGAATTGACGGTAGAGTTGACCATGCCTGCAAAGACTGCGCCGAAGACGAAGAGAGTGATTTTAAAGATGCTGTGGCCTTGGTCAAGCATAACTTGCATCGCGTCGTAGGGCTTCTTGTCGCTCGTAACACGCTTCTTGATCATGCTCTGGAGCATGAAGAATAGGCATGCACTAGTGTACAACTTTTTCAAGGCACCAAGCGATGGAAGCTTGGGGAACAGGATGGACATGGGACTCGCGGGAACGACTATGCTCTCAAACATGCTCTGCGTCTGTTTAAGCTTTTTTGGATCGCTGAGGAGCTCATTTGGGCCAAATGTGCCCATAGTCAACTTATAAATGGCGCATGCCATGCTATCAAAGGCGTCGATTATTCCGCTGGGCTCTTTTTGAATAGTGTCAATAGACTCATTAATCTTGGACTTGAGGTCAGGTAGCTTGTTTTGGAGATACTGTCCTTTCAATAGTTGCGAGAGGCGAGAGGCAAACCACTTGTCTATGCCTTCATCCGTTTCCTGACTATTGTGTAACTTCTCTGCGCTGGTTGGTGCGCCATCGATGTCAGCGTAGCCTTCGGCCAGACGTAGCTGTCTCGATTCGAAAAACATTTTTCGTGCCGTGTCACCCGATAATCCGATGACCATGTTAGGCCCTGCATGGAAGGAGAAATTGCCTGTCTCTGATTGAGATATACATTCCTTATACCAGTCCCACCTTCGCTTCCAAAATCCCCATGGGCCAATTACTGGGTAGTTGTCACGAACCTCAGGTGGTGCATTATGTGGGATCTGGCGGGTGAGAAGCTTGTGGGCGACTGTGGAGAGGACGGTGATAGCGATGATGGCGATGTAGACGAAGATGACCGCGGTGCACAAGAGGATGAGCAGGGAGGAGGACATCCCATATGGAATAGAGTCGAAGATGGCCATTGGAGCTACTGCAGAGTCGAAGGTTTTCTCGTGTAGCAATGGAAGATTCAACACTTAACGGCTGTCGACCAGTATGTCACCGGCTGCTGTATTAGCTTTATAAATATCAACAGCAGGAGAGTAACCCCTTCAGGACAGTTTGCTGTTACGCTTGCTTTCCGAGCATCGTCTTCCCGTCTGTCGGCAATATTTGACCAATCGCTACAGTCAAGACTTGAGAAGTATACAACTTTGCTTCGACGAGGCATAAGCCATATCCGTCACCTCCCGGTCCAACCACTACCCCGGATCGTCCATTGCTGACCACCTTGCAAAACCTTAATTCACTAGTTTCCCTCGCTTACAGACCTTCGGCATGCTGGCTTGTAAATTTTGGCTATTCCAGAGTTAGATGCCAAGTAGGATTAGTACATGCCGCAGATAATTACATAGTTTAAAGGTCCACGGAAGACAACAGCGCTAATCAACGAGGTTTGTTCGCAATGATTGTATCTTGTCGCATCGCTTCCTGACATCTCAGGTAATCATACTTCCCGCGTGTCCAGGATGATGACATATACTTACTTATTGCGGAATCGGACCGCGTTCAGCAGCTTATTCCCACCACCTTCCGTTTCAACCACGCTCCAGCTCATTCGCCAAAAGCAGATCAGCCGCTGTCGAGCCTGGGAAACCTTGTGTATATGTACGTAAGAGGTGTTGAGCGAGCTAGCTGATTCCGCTGTCCTCCTCTAAAGAAAATATTATATGATCGCTCATACTACAGGCATATGTAGTATACCCCCGGCGAGGATACTTAAATGCGTTCTATGCCCGGTCGTCTATGCGCCGTCTGATCATCTCATTTAATTTAATCTCACCTAATACCGATCGACTGGATCCGATGCGCGTTTATTTAGGGATTTCAAATAGTGGCCAACATACTTGTCAGGTTTCGGGAAGTGACTGGGCAGGTGGTGGTTAGTCGTTTGGGTGTTATTGATGTTGTGGCAGCAGAGCCGGTTTTCAAGCGCGTCCCGGTGCCTTGGGATGCTAAAAGACATTTTTTTTGCTCTTTTAAAACAGTCGCATATTTTGTAAGACACGTTCGTCAAGCTTATGATGCAGCAGAGTTTGCTCTCTTCCAATAATCTCTTGCATAATTACTTCATTACGGGGCCTTTCTGCTCTGAAGCTCCCTTGATGTTGCTCTTGAAAATCCTACACCCAATCCGCCTTGCCCCTCACGCGCAGTCTACTTTGACCATCATCTTCCGATTCAACTGCTCGGGGCCTGTTCGATTCTCCGTTTTCCATTACCATTTTGCTCCCGTTCTAGGTTTAGAACTTTAACAGCGTAGAGAGCTAACCCCATACAGTAACTAGTGCAGTCACCTGGCTCCGTTTTCTAGCTGATGGTCTAGAGGTCCAGCTGGAAAATGGACTTCCCTTCCGCCTAGAAGGGAGAAAATGTATGAAGAACTGGTACTAGATAGGGTTTGTTCAACTATAAAAGTGCCCACAATCTCTAGCGCCGTTTTGTGGCCGCATACGTTTTCCGAACACGATGCTCTTTCCGTCTCCGTTTTCCAGACGGAGTTCAGATTATTCCCAGATTAGGTCTAGCAGACGTAAAAGGGAGCTGAACCGAAAATGTCCTTGACATTTCGCTTGCCGTTAAGATATTAAACTCCCTTCGATCGAGATGTGCCTTTTTGTCTCCATGAGAAGCCAGTTGCCTCTCTGTTTCTCCAGTCCTATTTCTCTTTCTTATACGAAGGAGAAAATAAAGTTCAACACAAGCCTTTTTCCGGCGGATCAGCACTTAAAAGAGTTATCGCTAGCGGATTCCGGCTATGATATGATTTTTCCACAATGCAGGCCCATGTCACGTGGCTGGTGCTTGGCATCGTCGGCTCATAACTCCGGGGAAAACGACAAAGCAATCAATCCTCCACACTTTATGTCCTAGCTTGGCCTGGAGACGAGCGAATGCCAAGGTCTTAACGCAAAAAGGAAGAGCATGCGGCTCAACAACCATCAGGGATCCACTTTCTCGTAATGCGGTTCCGAGCAGCGAGCAGCGTTTTTTGCGCAAGCGAGGCATCGGATAGTACGGCTTGCACCATCGGCATCTGACTGGCAGAAGCCGACCTCCGACCCCCTCCAAGGTAATGGAGAAAGTTCCCCCACAGAGAAGGACGTGCAAGCCACATGCGCAAAGGCTAATTTGATGGCTTGTTGATCTGCACATGTTGTTGCCAGTCTGAGCGCTGGACATAGTGCTGAATCAACGTGCGACCGAACCTGCTATCCAATGGGGCATTGGGCCTAATGCGGGGGGAAGACAATTTGTGCAGGCAAAATGCAACTGTTGCTGCCAGGCTCCACTCGAGACGTGCGCTCAACCGCCATGACACCATCAGGCACATTTGGCCTTACTCCACTAGGCCATGGTGCATACTCTTCGGCCATGCGACGGTATTTGATCGGATTGACGTACAGTGGGGTAGGGTGGTAAATATCCTGTATGGAGGCCCACAGCAGAGTGGAGAGCGCATTGGAGTGGTATTTTTCCCCAGCTGCAGCTATAAGTAATAACGAGGGGACCCCATGTGTTCGTCTGGTGCTTGTTGCTTTACGTCTCTCTTGCAACGACAAGGAGCTCTGGCAATATGGCGACAGCGTACGACGGAGAGAAGATATCCGCGCACGATGCGGCTCAGATCTCGGAACACCACACAAAACCCAGCGCCGTTGCCACCATGGATCCCGAAAGGAGGAGGCAGGTTGAGAAGTCGCTGAAGCGCAAGTTGGATTCACGATGCTCGCTCTTCGTGTTGATCTACATTATGAACTGTAGGGGGTTTTCTAGATATGCTGTCGCATACTCGATATTTGGTGCTAACCATTACTAGATCTCGACCGAAACAACATTGCTGCAGCGCGTCTGGGCGGTCTGGAAGAAGACCTGGGTCTCACTCCCACGCAATACTCGACCTGCTTGAGTATTCTCTACGTCGGCTATATTCTGATGCAAGTCCCATCGAACATGATTATCAACGTGATACCCCGACCATCGCTCTACATTTCAATTGTCATGTTGGTATGAAACCTCTTGTCCATACCATAGCATAAAATCACTCTGCTAACGTTGCTTTTTTCTCCATAGCTCTGGGGAATGATTAGCACATTGAGCGGCAACGTCACAAATTTCAGCGGCATGGTCGCCATTCGCTTCTTCATTGGATTCGTCGAGGCAGCTTTCCTGTAACAAACCCCCCTGTTACCGCATATCCGGGTAGATGGAGTGGAAATTAACATCACGAATTCTAGGCCGGGAGCATTGCTCATCCTCTCCAAATGGTACACCAGACGCGAACTCACGCTTCGCAACGCCATTCTTTTCTGCGGAAACCTTATCTCAAACGCCTTTTCGTCTCTTGTAGGCGCGGCTGTTTTGGGCAACATGGAGGGAGCTTTGGGTCATGAGGTGAGTACAAAAATCCGTTGAGGTATCTTTCTTTGCAGCGAATACTAACACACAAGCAGGCTTGGAGATGGCTCTACTGGTAGGCACTAGACTTTTGAAGTAAAAAAATAAAAACAAGATTAACACACAACTAGGATCGAAGGAGCAGCAACAATGGCCATCGCCATCTCCGCAGCATTCATCCTACCCGATTTACCGCACAACACGCGCGGCTTCACCGAAGAAGAACGCGCCGTCGCCGTTCTCCGAATGACCGAAGACGTCGGTGAAGCCGACTCAGACTCCGCCGAGCAATCCCCCTTTGCAGGCCTCTTCATGGCTGTCAAAGACGTCAAAATCTACATTTTGATGATCACGTTCACCGCCTACGTCACCGGCCTCTCGTTCAACGCCTACTTTCCCAGCTTAACCAAGACGCTCGGATTCGGCTACATCACCACGCTGCTTATGAGCGCCCCACCGTGGGCTTTTGCCTGCGTCGTCAGTCTGATTAACGCGTGGCATTCGGATCGCCAGCAAGAGCGGTGCTGGCACATTGTCGGACCCATTTGCGTTGGCATCGTGGGGTTCGTTATTTCCATGGCTACGTCAAACACAGCGGCGCGATATGTAGCACTGTTCCTGCAGGCGTCGTCGTATGCCGGCTTCATTGTTTTTTACTCGTGGATCTCGTCGTCGTTTCCGAGGCCACCGGCGAAGCGTGCGGTCGCTATTGCTATGATTAATGCTTTTAGTCAACGTACGTATTCGCTTGATATATTCTTCATTCGAGAAGAAAACAGCACTAACGGTTCTCGTCTTCTAGTGGGCAACATTGCTGGATCCTATGTTTGGAACATGTCGGCGAATGGATACAGGAACAGCTACGGTGTTGTTACGGCCATGTTTGGCGCTACAATTATCGGATGTCTGATATTTAGGTTTGTTCTCATTCGTTTGAACAAGCGATTGGATGAGGGAGCGGATGCGTGGGTTGTGCATGGCGATGTTGCCGAGCAGACTGCGGCTACCGAGGGCGTGAGCGTAGAGGAAGGCAAGAAGATGATGGCTGGATTTCGGTACTTGGTATGAGAAACTTCTAGAAAAGGATGAATGGAAGTACAAACCTCAATGTACTCTCGGTTGAGATCATCAATGGAATTCTCTCAATTTTGCTTGATAAAATTAGTGGTAGCCAAATACCAGCAATTATCAAGAATCTCAGTTGCTGCTTTTGCTAGACGCTGTTGTTGAAAGTTTCTTCAGTTTTTTTTAATCAAGGGGAGCCATGGATCTAGTCATTGATATCACCTGTAAGAGTACAACTTTACACGCCCTCTTCCTCGTTGAGCTTGATGCCCCTCTCAACCAGCCCCTCAATCCACAAATTGAATTCCTCTCTCATCTCGGCTGGGATGACATGGCCTTGCCCCTTGATAAAGTGTTTCTCAATCTCACCTTCTTGCCAGACATCTTCCTCTTCCTCAATGCCCAGCCAATTTTCCTTGCCCGTTACCCCCTCGCCTTTCTCGAGACCCCTCCACAAAACTACGCCCAAGGGAAAAGTCAACATTCGATCCTTTGTACCATGGACAACCATGATTCTTTTTTTCCCAATTGTCTCGGCAAGGTGCTGCAGTTGCTCGGGGCTTTTGTAATGCCAACCAGCTGCAATGGCCTGCAGGATGAAGGGTGCTTTGGAAAAGTATTCTGGATGCTCGCGTTTCCACATTTCATTGGCAGCAAAGCGGTCCCCGTTGGTTGGGAAGGCCTGGACGACGGGTTCCAGGGTGTCTGGCGCGTCTAGCCATTCTTGGGAATACAGATTCTTCTTGACGCCCTCAATCTGGGTATCAAGGGACTTGGGGATGAAGAGATTGGCACGGTTCCAGAGGTTTTCTAAGAAGCCCTGCATGGGTCAACTCGTGTGTGGGTTGGCCAGGTGGCAGCAATTGCGGGACCTACTGTAGTTCTGAAGAGATGTGCAGCTGTTGATACAAGCGACAGGGTGCATATGCGTTCTGGTATCAACATTGCCTATGTCATGGTCAGCGCTAAGCCATCTCACAGCCTCTTTGCTTATCAAGAAATATTTTTTCTTCGATCAGGTCTTGTCGACCAACGCGTAATGGTATCACGGTAATGCAGGCGTTGCCTGGCGAATGTGTACGGGAAGAGCCGTGTACAAGAGGAGCAGAGAGCGTATGAACCGCTGAGATTACAGGGCGAGGCATGGTGTCAGAGAGGATAATGTCATTTTTTTGAGGCGCTTGGCGTCTGCAGCTGGGGTGTATGTGTGTCGGTTGACGGAACGTCGCGTATCCGGTGTCTGATCGTTGGAGACGGTCGTTGAACGCCTGACGATGCAAAATCAAAATCAAAAAAACACGACTCACAATCTCCTGGGCGATCATTCCGCCCATGCTGATTCCGATAATGTGCAGATCGCGTTTGGTGGTCCAGCCAACGTGATCAATGACTTCAATCAGGTCCTTTGCCATTTCGGACGTCGAGTATCTCGACGTCGGCTTATCCGAATCACCGATACCACGGTTGTCGGTCACCAGGCACGAGTACTGATGGCCCTTCGTATGGCCAAAATCCTTGGTCTGGCGTTGCCAGGCATACTTCATGCCACCCAGGCCCATGACCCACTACATGATGTTAAATCTTCAGAGGCTGTGTCGGAGAGTAAAATAGAAAAAAGAGATGTCGGCATGTTCAGCGACCTGAGACGCCGGGCAGATGTTGAGACGACAAATGCAACCGAAACGAAACGGTGACAGGAGAGAGGTGATGATAGCTGCATGCCTGAGGTGGCACCCATGCCGAAGGGGAGAGAGTAATACCGAGAGGTGGGACCACTTACTACCAGGTGTCGAGGGCCACTGCCATGGAGCTCGTAGGCGACATTAAAGGGCCCGCCTCGATCTTTGGCGACGGGTACCTTTCCTTGGCTTTGGGGTGTCAGTTGCCAGACGATGTGGGGGTATTCTGGGTGCTGGGGTAGCTCTTGAGCAGTCATTGGTGCCATGGCTGGGCGTAAGCTGGTGGGGGTGGGAGCGGGTTAGTTAGTGTAGTATGCGTGTCATGTTATAGTGGTAAGTAGCATGTAGGTAGGTGCAAGTACATATGCGCGCAGTAGTAGTGCAATTGTGCATAGTAGTGGCGTAGCGAGAAAAGATTTGTGGCGTAGTGGGCGGTAGCAGGTTCCGTGGGTGGTGCATGGATGGATGCTGTTTGTGTATATGACCGCAGGACAAACTTACTAGGCGATAGTAGCTAGTATAGCAGTATTAAGGTATAATGTGCAGAGAAAGAGAGAGAGTTTGGGGTGGGGGGTGAATTGTGCGACAACGAGTCGGACGAGAAGTGGCGGACGTCATTTGTGTTGGCTGGGCCGGGCTGCGACAGTCAGCCTCAGGTGGCAGTGGATGCGATGCGCACCTGCGTTTCACCTTTCGCCAGCAACTGGCGGCCCCTACGCATACTACGCATGACCCCCCGCCGATCCGCCCTCCGCCTCCCTGCATGGCCTCCCCAAAGACGACGACGACGACGAAAAAAACAACGACTACTACGATTTTTATTTTCTGACGATTGCAACGATCAATTCCTGTCCCTAACGACACTGTTGCCGGCGCTGCCGCAGCCACACTCACTACTACGACCATCACTACCATTACTAATACGACCACGACCACGACCACGACCACGCCATAGCAGTAACGACAATCTCCACTCCCACCTCTGCCATGGACCCCTCCCACTCCGGCTTCTACGTCGGCGGCACTCCCATGATGAATGCCCAGCCGCCGCGCATCTTTGGCAGTGGCACCTTTGACGCCTCGCAAATGCCCTCCGGCAACATGTTTGCCCACGACGACTTGGATGACCACAATGATGGAGGCGATGCCAAAAGGCGCCGGATTGCACGGGTACGCACCCTCGCCCGCCCACGCAGCCACACGTACAGCTGGACGCGGCATTCCATGTTGGTGCTGACTGGTGCTGCAGGCATGCGACATGTGTCGCAAGAAGAAGATCAAGTGTGATGGCAAGATGCCTTCGTGTACACATTGCCAAAACTACAAGACCGAGTGCATATTCACCCAGGTCGAGAAGAAGCGACAGCCGCCAAAGGGGTGCGTTCCTCCACTCTCCCTTTCACTGCTACTGCTACTGCATTGCCCCTTGTGCGACACGACAGCTAGCTGACTGCGCCTAGCGCCAAGTACATCGAGGGTCTCGAGAACCGCCTCGCGCGCATGGAGTCGCTCATGCGCCTCTCCGGTGTCCTCCCCGAAGACGACGATGGCAGCACAGACCTAGCCACCCTCGAGAAGCGTCTCGAGGCACGCGCTGGACAGTCGGCTACCCCCAGAACAAGCAGCATCCACGAGCGGAGACCCTCCGTAGCACCCCACTCCGCCCCATCAACAGCCGACAATGCACCCACACACCCAGCCCTACCCAGCCCTTCGAGTGGAACTGCTTCTCCCAGTCCCGACGATCAACCTGCCGAGGCCAAGGACAGAGATGAGGATGCCCTGGCCGAGATGATGTGCTCCTTAGTCACAAACAACTGCGGCGAGACAAGATATATTGGTATGTCTTGCCTCACAACCATGTCTACTCTTTACTAATCACTAACCCGCCTAGGTTCTTCATCCGGCTTCTCCATCTTCTCGCCCAAGGGTATCCAATGGGTCAACGACAAGACGGGCGACAACTCGTTCCGTGACATGATCTCCACAGCTGCTGTCGAGGACAACAAGTGGATACAATGGCGACCAGACGTCTTCCAGGACATTTTCAAACGGCGCGTCTACAAGCAGTTACCGCCCAAGCACGAAGCCTTGTCCCTGCTCAAGGATTACTTTGAAAACTTCAACTGCATGTTTCCTCTATTTCACGAACCCACCTTTATGCACCTGGTCGACAAACACTACTCCAAAGACCCTTACGAAGGCTCCGGCTGGTGGGCAAGTTTGAACGTAGCCTTGGCTTTCGCCCATCGACTACGCGTAATGAGCAATCTCGTGCCGGCAGAGGAGGATGAAAAGGCTTGGCAATATCTCAAGAACGCAATGAGCGTCATGGTCGAGCTCACCATGCGCAACACTGACTTGCTTAGCGTGCAAGCTTTATTGGGAGTGGTAAGCAACCCAAAGCAACCTAGTTCCTACCACCCATCCGCCTAACACTATACAGGGTCTCTTTTTGCTGGGCACACCTAATCCCCAACCCACCTATTTCTTCGTCGCGACTGCCATGCGGCTGGCACACAGCATTGGTCTCCATAAGAAGGGCGCCAATTTTAGCCTCAATGCCGCAGAAGTTGAGCAGCGAAGGCGTGTCTTCTGGATTGCCTATATGCTTGACAAAGAGTGAGCCCCAGACTTCATCCATCTATTTCTTTGTATACTTTACTGATCCTGCAAAGCATTTGTCTGCGCTCTGGGAGACCGCCAGTGCAAGATGATGATGACATGAATGTCGAGCTACCAAGCGAGACACCACCCGATAACATTGGCAATATCCCACTTGCTGACGGTAAGGGCACCATGAACCTCTTCCGTCTCATGTGTACTTTTGCCGTAATCCAAAGCAAAGTCTACAAGGGACTCTACTCAGTCAAGGCTTCCAAGCAGACCGACGGCGAACTTCTCAACACCATTGGCGAGTTGGACAAAGAGCTCGAAGCCTGGAAAGACGACATACCCCTCGAGTTCCGCCCAGAACACGACATTAAAGCATCGCACACGCCCCTCATCCTCCAGGTTGCCGTGCTACATCTCGGCTACTACAACTGTTTAACTACTATCCACCGTATGAGTGTCCACCACGGATATTGGACCAGCCGACTCTCGAACTTTGCCATTCAAGGTTTGAATGCACGACCACTGAACCCCAGGGTCTTCATGTCGGCCCAGCTCTGTGTACAGGCTGCTCGTGCGTCTATTCACTTGCTCAAGTACATACCAAAGGGCGATTTGTCATGTGTTTGGCTAGTAATCTACTTCCCCGTCACCGCACTCGTCACGCTCTTCGCAAATATTCTCCAAAATCCCCAGGATTCCCGGTCGCGATCCGATCTCAAACTCATGAAGTTGGTTGTCAACTTCTTGAATATGCTCAATGACGAACAAGGAAGTGGCAGTGTGAAGCGCATGTGTACCGTTTGCGGCGAATTTGAACGAATTGCAGCTACGGTGTTAGAAAAAGCTGATCATGAGCATGCATCGCGGCGGAAGAGGAAGCAAGGCGACAGCGAACAGGATGCACAAATCGAAGCCACAGCTGCCGAGCTACTATCCACTGGCCGTAATAACCACTCATCACCGCAACAGGCAACCACACCGCAAAACACCAATGGATCTGAGGGCCTAATCTTTAACCCGGACTTCCACGGCTTTAATGAGGTATGTCTGACCAGCCTTTGCATGATACAAAGCTAACATTTTCAGCCATTTCCCTTCTCGCCAAACTTCACCCATGCATCATTGCAGCCCAACGTCCAAATGAGCCAGTATGGCTCGCCTGGCATTACCGCACAAATGTTACAGCAACAGCAAAGTCTACCCATGACAAATGGTGCTGATGTGAATGGCATAAGTTCCAGTATCAATGCAATAGCTGCCATGGGTCAGTTCGAACAGAACTACAACAACGTTCCGCAAGATTTGTGGAAAATGCCCATGACACTGGAATGGGATTGGGCAGATATGACCGGCGGCTTCTCGAGTTACGAGGACGGTATAAGCACGAATGGGGTTCTTCCGGACTTTGCAAACAACACTGGCCATGGAACGAGTGAATTCAACCAAAATGCTATGAACGGCGGACGCCGATGATGGGATTTCCAATCCATTGTCACGCAGGATTGCTTTTTTTAACAACTGTACAACATACACGATTACGTGGCCTAGGTGGGTGTCACAAGGGCACTTCATCATGGCCAAGGAGTTGCTTGTTCGATCCTTTCAAGGATTTCTACCAGCATGCTGCATCTTCCAACTGCATATAATCTCACGGAAGCTCATGATACTAAATTTAAGTACCAAATATACAGGTTTTGTAATATATACAACACATTAGTTGTGCTCGGCGCTTGTCCGATGGTGGCTTATGCGCGCGCCCACGCCTAGTGGAAACCAAGACCGGCGGTCTTCGTCGGCTCCAGACTAGGGCGTGCCACCAGGGCATAGTTGTAAGATCTTCAATGTACGGTTTCGTAGCTATGATGCTGCAGGTTTCTTGTTCCGATTCGCATGTACTTGATTGTTTATCCTGTTGCACGCCCGTCTCCTCTATTTCAGTGCTAGTATCTTCGACTTCTCCTGACTGCAACTACTACTACCGTGCTGTTTGATACAGCTGTCAGTGAATCATCATGCTCAACATCACAGCCTTACTGTCCACCCTGATCACGGCAAACCATATCTTGTCGTACCACAATGTGCTTGATTCGTTTGGTCATGTCAGTGTCCGTAACCCTAAGACAAACACGACCTTTTTCATCGCATTACAGCTCGGTACATAAACATTTCGGTTTCTGTGATGCGTCTCTGCTTCCTTTCTTCTGCATGCGTTTACTTCTTCTCACACTTGCTCAGGTCCAGCGGTAGTTTCCGGCCCCTCAGACATTGGCGAGTATCTGATCTCGGATGGCTCGCCAGTAAACGGTACTGTAGGTGGCTACGCGGAGCGCTATATCCATAGCGAGATTCTCAAAAGATATCCCGACGTAAATGCCATTGTACACAGCCACGCAGAGGACGTCCTTCCCTTTACCATCATCGACACACCACTTGAGCCAGTCTACCACATGGCAGGTTTCCTTGGCACCTCGGTCCCCATATTCGACATTGAGAGCGTGTACCAAGAAACCGATCCACGAGACTTACTCGTCAACAGCCCCAGACTAGGTGCGGCACTCGCACAAACCTTTGGCGTCAACGAAACCCAACCCACCAGTCCAGCACACAGCACGGTTCTACAACGCGGTCATGGTTTTGTCACCGTAGGGACGAGCATCGAGCAGGTCACGGATTTCGCCTACTATGCTGCCAGTAATGCTCGTGTTCAAACAAAGGCGCTTTTATTGGCAAATGCTGCGCAGGGTACTGGTGGTATACATTACCTGAGCGAGCAGGAAAGAAAGGGTACGGCGGAAATGAATTCTTGGATTGTTTTCAAGCCGTGGAAGCAGTGGGTGCGCGAGGTGGAGAGGAGCGGGAGATTTGTAAATGAGTTAGGGACGCCACCTACGGGTGAAGCGTAAACTGTGAACTACATATCTACGGCAGTGGTAGGGGTGAATTGATCGTTTATATATGCCAAAGTTGATACAATCATATTGGCAAAATCCGGGGTTCGTGATGCAGTCATGGTGTTGAGGTTTGGCCCACAATGCACGTGGCGCTAGCGTGCTGCAGCTGCATCCAACGACGTCAACGCAGTTTCGCATCCCGGGATCTTGCGCCCGAATCTCCTTGCCTTTTATTTATTCCGTCCCACCGCCTTCCCAGTGCCACAGTTTCAGGCTACAATCTATGAAGCCGTGCCTCTGAACACACACATCTAGTTCCCGGCCCCCACAGATAACGACTATCGGCGCACGCGACCACATACAGCACTAGCGGCGTGATCGGCTTGCGCGTGCCTAACTCAAGACCGCTTGTCGTCAGCGTTGCCCATTTGTTCCCTCTGTTCCTCTCTCCCGCCTCGCCCACACCTTGCCAGCAATGCCGTCGCTCAAAATCTCCATTCTGGAGACGCACGAAGAGACTCCTGACCATGGCAAAGCGTATACCGCCTACACTATCAAGATTGAGCATCCCTTTCCACGTGCGGCAACCACCACATCCAAACGCTACTCTGACTTTTGCGCTCTGGACAGCGCACTCCGCTCAGAAGTCGGCGCTGCACCACCCACTGCGCTGCCCCCTAAATCATGGCTCGGCGGTTTCCTTGGCCTAGGCAACACCAGCAGCTCGCCCGAGAACATTGAAAAGCGACGTGCAGGCCTCGAAGCCTATCTACGCGCCATTGAGACGGCAGAAGATGGGCGGTGGCGCGTGTCCAAAGCGTATAAGACATTTTTGGGGTTGGGCGACAAAGATATAAGCAATGGGAAAAGGGCTAGCAACCTGCCTGGATCGCAGTTTGGCAAGGATAGAGTGAGAGATAGTTCGGACTGGCTAGACAAGCACGCAGAGCTCAAGAGCAACCTGCAAGACGCACGGCGCTGGCTGACGAAGCGCGAACAAGCCACAGCCGCCACCGCACAGCACGAAGCCGCAGCAAACGCAAAGAAGAGTCTCGTCCGAGCCAGCACGCTCATCTCCGCCCTCGACGAAGGCCTCGCCCGCCTAAGCGGAACCAGCACCGACGAATGGAGCGGCGAGAAACTCGGCCAAGGCGAGCTCCGCAGACGAAGAGACGTGGTCAGCGGTCTCCGCAAAGAACGCGACGGCCTCGAATCCGTCCTCAACAGCATGGCCGTCAAGGCCGCAATGTCCGGCTCCGGCTCCTCTTCCACCCCCTCGACCTCCTCCGCCGCCGTCACCGAGTCCCAAAAAGCAGGACTCTTCAAAGGCGCTGCATCCGCCAAACCCTCTGGTCGCCGCGTTCTAGGCGCTCCTGCCCAGGAAACAGATCGAACCCGTGAGTTGGATAACGAGGGCGTACTGCAGCTCCAACAGCAGATTATCAATGAGCAAGATGAGGATCTCGTTGATTTAACGACGATTGTGCGCCGTATGAAGGAAATGGGTGTACAGATTAATGCCGAACTTGTCGAGCAAAATGCTATGCTGGGTTTGTTTGAGGAGGACGTTCAGCGTGTGGATGGTAAGATTAAGATTGCGAAGAAGAGGATTGACAAGATTAGGTAGGAAGGACATTTACCGCACGCATTGCATGTATGCATGGTGGATTGATTTTGCATTTTGGGGTGGGGGGGTTAGCCAATGGCGTTTTGTTTTTGGAAAACGGGGCATGGGATAACTAGGTTAATGTAATAAATGATAACGTGTTTCACCAGTGTGCGCCCCACCCCAGTGTGCGCCCCACGAAATCCTAGTACCTCACCTTCGTAATAGTACTACGCAACACCACCATAATATTTTTATTAAGTAGAGCAGGATATTATTCTTCAGATACGTCGCTATCCTCTGTATCCTCTAATTCTACTTGGCACGTGCGAGAATTGTGTCCAACTTGGCTGCAACGTCCGCAGCGCCGTTCACTGCGTACCCTCTTCGCGGGCGTTACACCCTCATTACAGCTACCACCCTCTACCTTAGCTATCTGATTAGCTATCTGGCTAACTGTCTGGGACCCCTCCGGCTGTACGTAGCGCCTCTTACGAGTTTTTCGCTTTGTTACTTCACTAATCGTAGCTTCAAGGCGATCAAGTTTCTCGTGCATAAGCACCATATTATGAGCTATCTGCTGAGCTCCCTTACTTAACTGCTGCATCTGCTCCTTAAGAGAAGTTGTAGGAGACCCTTGCTGGATTT